CAGCCAGGTAGTGTTAATATATAGCTGTGCTCACCTAAATGTTTAAAATTCTGCTAGCCCTTAAGATACCTCAACATCAACAAGACTGGTCAGAGTAGAGGGATCATGCTAGTTTCCATCCCTGCGTTTGCATCGTTCACATTTTGATCAAGCTGTTGGAATGTAGGCAGTATTTATTGGATATAAACGGCTGTATCAATACTATATTCTGTTAGCAGTTGATAGCTAGGAATTTGATATGTCTTATTTATACCTGAACACATCCAGAGAGATGATAGGGTTCTGGAATATCTTAAGAACCGTTCACTAGATTTTTTTCATATTTGGTACCTAGGTTCATCACACTATAAGAAAGGTCCAAGTCAGGTTTGGTGACCTTGACCTTCATTTCAAGGTCACAAGGGACTTTCACGTTTTACCTGCATGTTAAGCTATCTCAAGAACTGTTCACTGGATTGTCTTCATATTCAATACCAAGCTTTATCTAGGGAAGGCGCAGGGCCCAGTCGATTTTGGTGACCTTCACATAATTTTCAAGGTCATGGCGACACTTTGAAGATTTCAGCATGTTAACCTGCATGTTAAGCTATCTCAAGAACCGTTCTCTGGATTTTCTTCATATTTAACACCAAGCTTTATCCAGGGAAGGCGCAGGGCCCAGTCAATTTTGGTGACCTTCACTTAATTTTCAAGGTCACAGAGACACTTTGAAGATTTCAGCATATTAACCTACATGTAATGCTTGTCAGCGAGATACCTCAAGAACCATTCACTGGAGTTTCTTCATATTTGACACCAAGCTTCATCCAGGGAAGGCGCAGGGCTCAGTCGATTTTGGTGACCTTCACTTAATTTTCAAGGTCACAGAGACACTTTGAAGATTTCAGCATGTTAAATTGCTTGTTAAGATAGTCAGCAAGATATCGCAAAAAATATTCAGTGGATTTTCTTCATATTTGACACCAAGCTTCATCTAGGGAAGGCCCAGGGCCCAGTCAATTTTGGTGACCTTCACATAATTTGTAGGGTCACGACGACACTATGAAGATTTCAGAATGTTAACCTGAATTGTCAGCAAGATATTTTAAGAACGGTTCACTGGATTTTCTTCATAGACTTTCAAGACCTCCCTTGAATGTTTTTCAATAAGCAATTTCTTTAGTACTAGTTTTGCATATTTCATACACTATGACATTCATGTCAAGGTCAAAGTCAGTCTTGAAAATATGTGTGTGTTTGAACAACTAAAGAGCAAGATAATGTTTTTGTTGACATTTAACTTCATCTTAAACTTTCATTACTTTATAAGTTTGATTTGATAATTTGCGGCGGGGGATTATGTCACCTTAGTGACAATGCTTGTTCATTTGAATACAGATTTGTCATATTTGAATGTTGCTGAATGAAAATACTTCAGTAGGAAACCCTTGAGGACCAAGTGGAACCACATAGTTTATAATTGTGGTTTTTTCCAAAAGATGTGACAAACACAATCTGTATTTTGTACATGCAGGCCGTTCCTGAAGGCACCCCAATGACCGAGCTGCCATGTGTACCACAAGACTATTCTGGTATGGTGATGTTTGTGTGTTTTGTTGCAGTGAACTGTCCCGCTTACCCAGACAAATCAGTTTAGGCCCCCAGCCCTAGGTAACTACACCTCCCCACAAAGCACCAGACTATGCTGAGTGACTTGGTTGCTCTACTGAAGGCACGATGCTCAGCACTGGGATTATTTACAGACAGCCTCAAGCCAGACACTCCTTGCTGTCCACTCTTGGTGAGTTCCATGCTTGTTTTGAGGCCTTTCTGGTCCTGTCCTGTTTGCAATAAATGAAGACTGTCCAGATATACTGGCTTACCCAGACAAATCAGTTTGAATTGCAGTATATGTGAACCTACTCCTCCATCCAACTTAATGTATGATACTTCTTTTTTATAGGGATATTTTTATCTTTCCATGAATCCCAAGTTACCGTGAAATTCCTTACTGACATTTGTTGCTGATCAAATATGATTTAATCCTCTGTGATCAAATGCTACCTGACACATTGATGTTGGCTACCAAGTGATTACATGCCCAGCACAAATTGTCTTACATAAACAATGTACAGTAAATGGAGCATAATAGTGTGCAGTGTCATTTTTGCTTAGTGAAACACACCGTCTGGTTGTAGAAACCAATTAACATATTGCTGGCTAGATGGTCTTGATAGCCTCAATAGCCTTGCTAGTTTCAAATTCTGTGAGCTGAAATATGTGAAAGTAAATGTTCTTGAAATATGATTTGAAGTAATCACAAATTCCAGGAAATAATAGCAGCAGACAGCACATTAAAAGCTAAAAGTGGTCTACATCGTCCCTCAGCATGGATACAGATCTGAGATTCTTTTAAAAACATTCCGAACATAGTGTTAAAATCCATCTTTATGTCTTGTAATGTGCTCTACTTATTGATTTGTGTTGACATGTGACATCTCAATATGACACCATTGATTTTGATGGAGACAGACAAGTTTCCATGATCATGATGATTGTCAACTTATTGATCTTAATGAAAAGCAATTATTCTTTTTGTGTAAAGGTGTCATGTAAACATTTAGAGTTGCAGTTAATCAATTTCTTAGGGAATTTGAAGTCGACAGATCAATAAAGTGTTTAAAATTGAAGTTTTCTTGATTTTCCAAACTATCCATGGCAATCTTAAGTTATTTAAGCATTTGTCTGTCAGTGAATTAAGAATTTTGTATAATATAGTGTCAAAATTAAATATTTAATGATACTTTGATATTGTGATGATGGATGGCATCTCAGCATATATAAGAAGTCAGTTTTATGAAATATAGACTGATGCCAAACCCTTTGATACTGACGAATAATGCTAACATGCTTTGACTGGCTGTTTACATGTAACATCTACTGGGATCCTTGGAAGACCATTAAACACAATAACTGAACTGCCTTATACACTGTCATATAAACTGTGTCATGCCAAGCCTACCTGATCCATAAAAGTGACTGAAGAGGTCGTGTCAGTGTTCATTAATAATGATGTATTATTTTTATGATCTTGTCATTTATGACAGCAAGTGTTCTGTTTTACTCCATTGCCAGTGTGTCATTACTCTAAATATTAGATGTTTATGATTATATATTATTGTATGGATAAGGATAACCAGAATTAATAAGTGTGGAGTAAAATTGGAACAGTAATTTTTAGGGTGGGGACTATGCACAGATGCACTGATACATCATGATACATTTAAGTTTAAGACAGCTATCGTATCGTCGACTGGTGTATCGATACAAAACGATGCATGACTTTTTTTCAAAACAGTATTATCTTAAACATGTTACTTATTTAGAGAAAAATATGCAAGTATGACAGAGTTACTTGTTTGTTTACTACAATAGTGTTATTGCTATACACAAATACCTTGAAATAAATCATTTTTAATCTTAATACTGTGTCATTCTTTCAAGGTGTATGTATCGTGATACGGATCGTATCGCAGGTAAAATATCACGATACGTCTCATCGTGACATAGTGTATCGTCCCAGCCCTAGTAATGTTTTCATACACTTAGTCTGGAAATTTATTAAACTAAAAAAGTAAATACCGATCATTAGCAGTTATGGTCCTGTTGTTGAGGCCTGTGGCATTGATGGTATTAAAGGAATGATTGTTAATGAGGTTCATACTGCTTCCAGAATTGTCTCATTTGTTAGCTGTAAAGACTGATCATGTATTTACAGTTCTTCACCCCACAGACTGTACTATGTAAAGACTACTTAAAACAGAAATATTTTGAAATTTTATTTTATTTATTCTTTAGACCAGTAACATTATTTATTGTGAGAAAAAACTGAAAACCAAGTGATAATACATATAAAAGGTCTTATTTGTAAAACAAGTTGTGTGGACACCACATTCAGTACATTGCAATGTGATGGGCATGTCAGGTTACCTGATGTATGACATTCCTCAGTGGTATTGCTTGCTATCAATCTCTAGAACACAGCTGTCTCTTACAAGCCAACTGTTACACACAGCCAGTGTTGGAATTGATTTATCATGCACATTACCAATATATCCAGGACAAGCGGTAGTGATGGAAGGTGGAAAACTGGGTTGGATTTGTCATTCCATTGTGACAAGTTTTAAGTGTCAACATGATTTTTATACATGAGAGCTGTTGAACTATGATTGGAAATAAATTTGATGCCAAGATTGTTTTGTATAATAATGAAGGAATTCCTAGTGCACTAATGGAGTCTATGTCAAACCCATTTGCACATGCTGATCTTAGTGTTATCGTATGGAATTTTATTTTGTAATATTCATTAGATTTTATTTGACCACAAATGTTTTTACTAAACTGGGGCTATAGACACAGGCTGCTAATGATCCAGTCATACAAAGACTATAATGTGTTTTGAATTAAAAATGAAAATAGAAATGAGCACTGTTCAGGAGACCTGTTAAGATGGATGGATAGAAAGTACTGAAAGACATTTCTGTAGGTGTCACTTTTGATGGTAAATAATGTCAGTTTTGCATTGATTCCTGATTTAAAGTTAGCCAATGACAGCAGTATTATATATCTGCCAAATAATCTCAAGGGCCCCTAGAATTATGTTTCTGTTTGATGACACAAAAGCGTAAATTTGCTAAGTGGCGCTCCCAGACATATCTTTTAGCAATTTCATGCTTAAATTATAGGTTTGGAATGGAATACATTTGAAAAAAGAAGATAACGTCAATTGTCAATGTTACTTCTGCTGATATTCAAAGTATTCTCAGAGCTAGTTCTAGCACACATTTCATCATTTTCAACATGATCAAGGCTGTCCTTACTTATAACACTTTCAAGGTTAAATTATAGCTGCCGTTCTACATTTTCTCCTTTCATCTTCACCACCTGGCTGTTTTTCATACAAATTGTTGGTGCATGATTTTCATACTTGATGTTTACCATCCTTACTATCTCTTTTACAGCCGGCAGTCGTGTTGACACTGGCACCTTCACTCGACCAAAGAAATCTCGAGACAAAATACAGCCTGGCAGCTTTGAAAAGGAGAATGATCCCCGGGATGACTCTCAGAGAAACGCCAATGTTGCTGACATAGAGACTCTTGCCAAAATGCAGGAAGAAAGTAAGACAATGCCCTCACTTTCTTGTACAACTATTATGGAAGTCTAAAAGAGTGTAGCTCAGCTTTAACATGTTAGAGATATTGTTAAGGCAATGTCAGTGTTCAGTGTGTATCCTGTCGTGTTGCTTTGCATTGTTTGGATTTGAATATTTAAAGGTGTTGGCTGAAAAGTCAGAACAGTTGGTTTTCAGGAAAAAACGTGAAATACCTCCTGGACAGTTGGGCCTCTTTCCTTTTCTGGTAAATGTGTGAATGAAGTTACCTGTTTGGGGATATACATGATTACCAAAGACATTTTTCTTACACATGTTTGTAAAAATGGGATTGTAATTACCTGAAAATCCCTCGGCCCCCATTTTGATGACAGTTAAGATCATGCGACAACTCTCAAATGCATTTCATGTTAGCATCAGACGGCATTTCAGATCAGTGTTCTTTTCTGGTCCTCTCAGATGTTGGCTGCTCTTATACAATGGGGTCTATCTTATTAAGACATATTGAAGTGATGCATCCACTCTGTATGTTATAATGAAGTTATTACCTTGAAACTCAGTGAGTACTTAGTTTGATTTTTGTATTAACTACTAACTATCTCCTTTCTTCAGTACAAACATGTAAATCCACTTAACCCTTCTCATTGAGAATCTTCTGATTACATAATTCTCTTTTCAGGTTTACGACAAAGTATAAATGCTTCCCCAAGGAAAGGTATGTATTATTTGTTCATTCTATGAAATAACATGTTAAAAGTGATGTCAGTTGCAGTCATATACAAAGCATTACCATGATCTTCAGTGGTCATTCCAGGCTGCACCATTGCTCCACAAAATTGCTTAAATTTTACATGGTGCTTGTAAAATGTACAGGAGGGTTGTGTTGGCTCTCTAATGAAATTCAACTTAAATCTGAAATTCATTGCATTGCAAACTCATGCAAAACCAGTAGCGTTGTTTCAGTACTTTAAGATTGAGAAATCAGATTTACACTGTTAGCTTGGCTGAGAAAATTGTTCAGTCAGTGTTGAAATGTTTAATAAAGTTGAACAATGTATCGTTTATTTTTTTCATATTACAAAAAGTCAATATAAAATGATGACAGTACCTAGATTGGGAATGATTAATAGTTTATCAGCTATTCATTTATTTTTTTCCAAATCATTTTGTATAAATGGCAACCTTTTAATAAATGTGCTTAGCATCTCTTCATTTGGTTTCTCTTGTTTAAATGGTTGATCTTACCTCTGTTGGAAGTTGAAAAAAGTAAGAGAACACATACTAGTATTTCCCAGCAATTTGACATGAGCTACAATATTTTCTAAATGGCCTAGATAACTGTGAACAGGATGAACATTAGATCTTATCTGAAAACCTTTGTAGGATCATTGAAAGGAAAGCAAGATGAACATGTATGTTACAGTTTTGACAGAGTTATTGCCCTTTTTCAGGTCTGCGAGCCCGACAGTTGCCAGGACAGTTTGGTACCAGTGATACAGACAACAGTGGTTCTCCTGGCGGTTCTAATAGATCTAGTCCTGGGCGCTTTGATAGTATGTACTGGAATAATTTTGTTTGCCCATGTACCAGTAACATTAGTAAACGGTTCATGGCAAGGTTAAGACATTCATTCTCACTTTCTATTTGCTGTCGTAATTTACTTATGTCAAATTTAGAATAATTGTTCAACATACAAATGAAGAACATATCTTATATAAGTGAAAACTACTCTTTGCATTAGAATTATTAGCTTATTAGTTTTTATGAATCAGATAATCTGCAGATAATTTATTTAAGAATTGGTGTCACTATTAGAATTGCATTTATGTAAGTATAAACTTGTAAAATGACATGCATGCTGTTTTTACATTTCAATGTTTGAAAGTCACTTCTTAAGAAAATATACGGCCACAATAATAACTTCAAAGAATTAATTGGTCATTAACTACAAAAAAAACTGTAGACAATATATAATCAGCGACATCTTTTAGCATATTGGCCCATTCTGTTATCTGCCAAACAGTACTTCCTCAGTGGACAAAGCTTGTTGTTTTTAGTGAGTTTTAGCCAATGAAAAGCGAGGGAATCACTTTCCATGTATTTATATGCTGACTATTTTCATTTGCAGGCGGTGGGGTATCCTAATGGTTAAAGTGTCGGCTCGTCACGCTGACGACCCGGGTTCGAATCCCCACATGGGCACAATGTGTGAAGCCCATTTATGGTGTCCCCCCGCAGTGATATTGCTGGAATATTGCTAAAAAGGCGTAAAACCCACTCACTCACTCATTTGCAGGCGATGGCATGTATCATCAGCGCCACAGAAACAGCCTTGGTTCCGATGCCAGTAGTCCCCCAGATAGTCCACATGCTAGTCAGTACATCAACCCTGGAGGGAATCCTTTTAGTACAGGTATGTACAGCTGTGGGGTGGTGGGGGTAGCCTAGTTGTTAAAGCAATCACTCATCATGCCGAAGATCCAGATTTGATTCCCCATATGTGTGCAACGTTGAAGCCCATTTCTGGTGTCCCTTGCAGTGATATTGCTGGAATATTACTAAAAGCGTCGTAAAACTAAACTCACTCACGCACCTACAGCAGTGTTAAATTTGAGCATTTATGTCAAGGAGTCTTTGTCAATATGTCAGTCATTCTTTATTTCTGCACTGAAGAGGCACCATGCCGATTTGTATACATAATAGCATGATTTTAAAAATGTTGTGCAGACAACTCAAACTTTGACTTTTCGGATTGTCTGATCTTTAGTGGCGGTGGGGTATCCTAATGGTTAAAGTGTCAAAACAAATCGTCAGCTGACGACCCGGGTTTGAATCCCCACATGGGCACAATGTGTGAAGCCCATTTATGGTGTCCCTCGCAGTGATATTGCTGGAATATTGCTAAAAAGGCGTAAAACCCACTCACTCACTCACTCACTCACTCATTTGCAGGCGATGGCATGTATCATCAGCGCCACAGAAACAGCCTTGGTTCCGATGCCAGTAGTCCCCCAGATAGTCCACATGCTAGTCAGTACATCAACCCTGGAGGGAATCCTTTTAGTACAGGTATGTACAGCTGTGGGGTGGTAGGGGTAGCCTAGTTGTTAAAGCAATCACTCATCATGCCGAAGATCCAGATTTGATTCCCCGCATGGGTGCAACGTTGAAGCCCATTTCTGGTGTCCCTTGCAGTGATATTGCTGGAATATTACTAAAAGCGTCGTAAAACTAAACTCACTCACGCACATACAGCAGTGTTAAATTTGAGCATTTATGTCAAGGAGTCTTTGTCAATATGTCAGTCATTCTTTATTTCTGCACTGAAGAGGCACCATGCCGATTTGTATACATAATAGCATGATTTAAAAAATGTTGTGCAGACAACTCAAACTTTGACTTTCGGATTGTCTGATCTTTAGTATTTACATTTTGTTGATCACACATTGCTTCTTTCTTTCCAGAATCTCCAAGTGGTCGTCGAAGTGTGCCCAATGTGTCCCGCCTGCAGTACCCCCAGCCTGGCCTTCACTCGAGTGACTCGAGTCTAGACCATCAGTCAGTAGGGAGTGATGAAAACAACCTTGCCCCAGAGGCACGTAATATGTCCCGTCTACAGCAACCTGCACTCCGGTCAGCTTCACCAGCCATTGGGGGGCTAAAACAACCTGCCCAGATCCCCCGCCGGGCTACGTCCCCCTCCAGAAGTGGTCTTCCTACTCCCACCCGCAGGACAATCCCGCGCCCTGCTACAGGCAGGACTTCCCTTCCCACTCCTAGAAGGTATGTAGGCAGCTTTGGAGGGCAGAAATAATGTGAGATGTCATGATAGTTATATTGGGGCGGTGGGGTAGCCTAATGGTTAAAGCGTTGGCTCGTCACGCTGAAGACCTGGGTTCGATTCCCCACATGGGCACAATGTGTGAAGCCCATTTCTGGTGCCCCCGCCGTGATGTTGCTGGAATATTGCTAAAAGCGGCGTAAAACCAAACTCAGTCAGTCAGTCATTATAGTTATATTTTTGTTTCAATATTGTGATGTGAAAAATATGCTTCAAAGAATTGACTGGATTTTCCTATTTTTTGTTGGTTCAATTTCCTGAGATATAACTGAAATACTGTTTATATAGCACAGAACTCAATAAAATATGTGACTTATTAGTGAGCTTATGATGTGTCCTGCCTGGCCTGTGTTGTGTTGGTGTGTTGTAAGCATCTTCTCCTCCTCAGAAACCACTTGAACAATGAGCTGAACCTTCACGTGCCTGTTCCTCCGAAGCATGACACCCATATTAATAATTCAAAATGGCTGTCTTGACAGCCATGTTGGAAAACCTATTAATGGCCATTACACAATATATTGTTTTCAAAATGTGATGAAGTTTGGTACATGTGTGGCTAGTAGAGGGCTCAACATAAATGTTCCCTTTTTTGTGACATTTTGAATTTTGACCATATTTTGACCTTTGCACATAGACCTGACTGAACGGAGGCTTAACTTCTGCATATTCCTCTTTTAGATTGCACATTGTTGAAATTGTTTGATTTTAAGCCGTCAGTCATTGTTGAATATGAATGCCAAGAGCATTTTATTAAAAGTGTCTCTTGACATTTTAAACTGTTGACTACATAGTAAGGAGATCTACAATATTTGTCATACATCTTTTCATTTATAAGACTGAACTGCTCGTATCTGTTCCGTTATGTCTGATGCTTTTTGTTGTATAAGATTCCTGAATAGTGTAGTTCATCATTATCCCTTTCAAATGTAATCAGGGGCAGTTTTAGTCGAGAGGTCTAGGGAAGCCACATACATTGTGCACAATTAGCCATGCCAGGATTCGCTGCTGACTTTGTTTTCGCATCTTGACTGTGATCCTTGGTCTGCCAGCAAGCTACCACGGCTTGAGAGTTTAACCAAAGTGGTAAATGACCAACATTGGATTTTCAACATTCTGACATTCCCAATATACAGTAGCATGGATCAAAACCTCATTCAAACATATAAATCTTGAATAATGCATGTTCATCCAATATTCACATAAGGGCCCATTCATAATTTATGACTGGGGGGTGTGATGATGATTTTAAGTGGGGTCACCCATTTTGTTCTGGGGAGGTAGCAGGGGGTCATCAATTTTGTACACATGTACTAGGGGGTGGTCATTGATTTTGTACATGACATGCAGTCGGGTCACATACTTTGTACATAAATTTTAGGGGGGGCATTCACATTGTACATGCTATATACTTCTCCATAACAATGATCATCATCATCATCATCATCACCCCCCACCCCCCCAGCCCAGGCATAAATTATGAATGGTCCCTAACTAAGATAAAGAAATTGTTTTCAACACAGTATTGTTTATTTTTTTTATATTTCAATATGAAATGATGACAGTGCATGCACTTTGACATTGCCTATTTTACATCTGCGTTTCAGATCCAATGCCTCTTCACCGCGCCCTCCCTCATCTCAGGACTCAGATGAAAGTTGGCGTGAGGGTTGTTTCTAGACTGTCTGCTGTCTACCTTGATATATTCTAACCCGACAAGACAATGGTGTTTCAATATGTATATCTGACCTGTTTCAGGGGAAGGTAAACTGCCAGCCGACGTAGGGCATATGTAAGTTTGTCTTGATAAGTGCTCGTCACCTCGTGTGGGAGTGCTAGAGTTCCCCTGTTTGACTCTATATATTCACCTGTCAGGGCCTAGTCTATATATGCATTGGTAGTCGACGCAACGTTATGCGTGACATCATCTTCATGCATGTGCAACACTTGCTAATCTATCACTCATTCATCTTGTTGATTTAGAGAATTAGAGTTGTGATGAATCACTGAATGCAATAAAACTTGCTAACTACACAATTATAATCTTCATTGACATCTATCATTTAACTGTCTGTGGTAGTGTTGTCAAAACAATGTCAATCATGTATCGTCTTAACAATCAGAAAACAGTATTATATTACCATGGTCATTGTGGATTGTATGAATCGCTATCTACCTGAAGAATTGTTGCTGTTTTGGCATGGTTACCGTGGTTACTTAAGTAATAGCAAGGTGGCACATTGTCGTTTTGAGATTAACATCAGAATTTCTTTTGTGTCTTTATTACAAAGGATTTTTACTGTACAACAAGGATAATTTCAGGTAATATCACATTTTATTACAATCATTTTCTAAAAATTGTAGTAGGTTTTGAAAATGATATTAATTCAAAAGGTTACTGAAATTGTTTTTTGGAAGAAGTCATGATCACAATCCTTGCTGTGCATTAAAGTTTGTGTATTCAGTTTGCAAGAGATTAGAGAATTCTATATTTCAATGAAATATGTAATTAAAAGCAAGCTTATTTTGCTTTGACTTCTGGAAATTGTCCTCTACATCTCTTGACAATTATCTCTTGCAAACAATTGATGTCCTTGATTAGGGATGTCATGATGCACCAGACTAACGATTAACCTGTTTTTTTGGACACACTGCACAATTTCATTTTTCGTTTCGATACAAATGATATGTCATATCTCTTGACAGAAAGTGAAAGGTGTGAAAAGTTTGATCGAAATTTCCAATATGTTCTCAAAGGCAAAAGTAGTTATGATTACGTTACTTATGACTGATTTAGACTTATCAGTGGTCTGTGATACACATACTTCTAGTAATCTTTTAATCAAAAAAGAAAGTCACACCTATAATTTTTCACTTGCGTTCAGTCATGGATTCTCCTGCATTTAAATTCGACATTATTACACTTTAGATCTTCAATGATAAAGAGAAATTTTTTTTAATGTGTTCCTAAGAACAAATATGAACAGTATCACAGTTCCTTTTGTTTTTGTGTATATTTCGATCAAATTGAAAATAGTTTTATTATTATGTATTTTCCCTCTGATATTCTTCTAAATTATTCTGTCCTGGTAGAATATGCTAGAATAAGATACATACAGTGCATGATGTGTAGCATATCTTGAGAGACCAGTATTGTGACATCCCTATTCTAAATATGTAACTTTGTCAAATCAGACTGGCACGGTGATGAAGTTTGACAACATTTTCTGCATGAGTTCTCAAAAGAGTTAACTGAGAGTTATCTCCCTTAGTAGATGCTTGAAATCTTCCACAATGTATACAGGTATATACTGTCTCTGTACGCATGTATTGTTTCTTCAAATTGAGACTGAAAGGAACATGAAATCTTAAACTCATATATGAAATCCAAACTTGCATCGTGATAGAGTGATTCTCATGTCATTCATAAACTGAATTAATGCTGTCTTCACTATCCAACTTTTCATTGAACGCTGCTATGCAACTAAAATACAGCTTTTGTTCTAAACAGGCTACCAGTGGCATTCATTGATAAGCAGTGCTTGTATGTTGTCTGGTTGTTTATCAGGTCATCTTGGATGGAACCATCAAGTTGATGCTGCTGGCGCTAACAGCTTTTTTCAGTACATTATTTCTCATGTGTTATGGAAACCATTTCGGTACCATCAGTCTGAGGTGCTTCAAACTGTTTATTCTGTCTATTTGTGAATCTATTTTGATCATGAATAATAATGTTGTGGTTCAAATTATGTGTGTGTCAAAATTCTGACATGTTTGTTGTCAAAGAGTCAAGATTATGAACTAAATCCATGACCTTTCTTTATACTAGTTCTTATATCATGGCTAGATGTTTTTGCCATTCTTAATTCCTGATGGTGTTGGACCATAGGACTTGTTGTCAGTATCATTTAACATGAAAACATTGAGCATTACAGCCAAAAATACTTAAGATGAAATTGTGAGAATTATCTGCAGTGAACTAGCACATCATGTATTAGAGCCACAACATTTTTTCATTTGAAGCCTTGGCAGTTACTTCTTTGAGTGGCAGGTTCGCTGAATGGGATTATTACACAGTTGATGTGTAAATATGCTGGCCATATAACATCCACCATGCTAGTGGTCTATAAATATGTACATTGTATCATCATCTTCATCATAATCATCATCATCCCTACCTGTGTATATTTCTGCCTTTTATATGGATTATTTTTGCATCATGATCTCAACTCCCTGTGTTATAAAACACCATTATGAATCTGGAGTGATTCAGCCTGTATATATGTAGCATATTTATCAATCATATGCTCTTCTGTATCCATACATAATGAGGCAGGTGTCAGAACAAACGATTGTACAGACTAGGAATGGGAAGGTAGGGATAGCCTGTGTATAGTCATCATGGTAAACCATTCTACATGACCATCCTCACCCCCTGCACAACACCGTCATCATTGTAGGGATGGTTACTCCAGACTTGACAACCATGGGCCAGCCACACAAGCATCTTTAGCTCTGCAACCGAATTTATGATAAAATATTATGTAGTTTAGGGGCTATGCCAGTCATGCTATACATCTCAACTGGACCATATTGACCCTAATTTTTTTTCTCAATTACCTTACTGGATGCCGTATAGTACATTTTGATGACTTTGATCATTGAAGCTCATGAATCTTTAAGGAATAATCAGGGAAAATAGTTTGGGGTTTTGTTATGTGAAGTTGTTTTAAATTATATTTCACGCAAAATATATAGATGTAAGCTCTGTGTTTTGGCCTGTTGAAGTTAGAATAGGTTAGAAAAGGCTGCTATAGCAAGGCCTTTCTTTGGGAGGCAACTTTAATAGGTAAATTCATTTTGATGAGGTCATTCTAAAAAATTGTATTGACATTATCAAGGTTTGTTTTGATTCATTTTTCAATGACAATTTTGAATAGAATCTTTGTCAAAGAATATGAACCAATATGAATCTCTGTGATCTAGACAATGTTAACTCAAAAGGACACCAATCTGACAGAATTTGACATTAGGGTTTTATGTTCTGAGTAACATTTTGATGTTTATTCTACCAGGTAAAGAGTCTGAATGTAACCTGTACAGGACGTATACACACTACCTGTTTTTGTGTTTCGGAGGAATTATTGATTGTGATGTTGTGCAAGGGATGAGAATGAGTTTCACATTAGAATGCATATTCAGTGTCGACATTGTTACCCATGTCAAGAATTAACCTGTAAATATGATTTGCTTGGTACATAATATGTTGATGTGGATATTGTTGGAATGAACATGATAGTTAATACTTAAAAGACTCGTAAAGAGCGTCAAACTTTTATCTGGTGCTGGTGTGACCTTGTTGCTTGGTGTAAGTCAGTGGTATTATATTTCATCATAATTGTTATCCATTAAGCTTATACACACTTTATTTGTTTTGTGTAAGAATAGATTATTTTACTGTACAGCTTCAGCTAAGGTTAGGTTCCGCTCTTCATCTGTTGATGCTGTAATAGTTTTGGCTTTTCAGCTTACCAAGTTTGGGAAATACTGTTTTCATGGTTTGTGACCGTCGGCCATTTTGATGCAAAAACAGGCTGAATTTTGTACATTGGCAAATACCAAAGGAAATGTTTTCTTCAAATAATATTATTGAAAATATATTTTAAGACAGATGTCAGCACTTATCATTAGATGCTTGTAGTATTGCTTTGTTATTTGTCATGTGAAGTGACCGATTGATGTTCCTCCATTGGAACATGTCCTGAAAAGTTTATAATCAAAGATTTATATTTAATGATGTGACATTGTATAAAGTTGATGCATCTTATGATATTCAAATTTTTAAAAAGAACTGCTATTTACAAACTTTACCTCAAACAGATTGAAAAAGTGATACTTTCTGATTTTGTTTGAAGCAAGTTGAAACAAGCTTCTCCTGCTAGCCCTCGAGAAGCCTAGCTTGTGGAGAGTAAGGCCTATTTTGGGAAATTATTTCTTTACTAATTTTCTAAAATTACTAGACTTAGTGGTGAGTATCTACTTCCCTCACTCATCCTACTGATATTTTGTTTTGTTACTGAAGCTGGACAGCAAATTCAGCTAAATTTTTAAAAGTTAGTTTTAGTCCTTATGTTTTGAAATTTCTGGTTTAAGCATCTGAAAACCAAGTTATTGAATGTTTGATGTTATTGATGATTATACAGCCAAAATGGATACAGATAGAATGGCCTCTAGCATTCGTAGGTATGCCAACAGTCGTTTACTTATTCTTCACATCTTACTGATCAAATTCAGTTTGGATACTAAGAGCCATGTTCAGGAAGTAGACTCAAAAGATTTTGTCACAAGCTGTTCAAATTATTGTAAGGACCCAAGAGATAGAATTTTGCAATCTTTATGTATATAATTTCATATTTACAATAAAAAGATCTGATATGCAGCACTGGACTTCTGGCTGCACAACAGCACTGGCTGATTATACGAACACCTTTTGTTTCCAACCAAGGCACAAGTTGTATAATCTGAGTGCACTGATCACTTGCAGCCACCCACTGTTGTAGTTAACGGGTAGAGAATGAGCCTTGATGGTGTTAAACACTTTAAACACTATGCTTAGTATTGCCATTACTTCCTAATATCTGCACATATTTGTTCTGGAATGACCAGGTGCTGGGAATCAGTTTCCATCCTCTGGAGTAGTTTCAGCTGACAGAGGAACGTATGAGGTCTCTCAATCATGTTTAATCTCTTACATTAGGCTGCATAAAAAATATTGTTCTTTCTCATTGCTGTTTAAAAAATATTATTTTCTCATTAAAATTCCCAATGTATAAATGAAAACAATGAAGTACAGGGCATGTTTTTGTGACTTTTTACTTATTGGTGGTCAAAAAGCCTTTCGGCAAAAATTACAACTTCGCTGTGAAAAATGACTGAGTTTTGCTTGCTAAAGAATTAATAGTGTTTAGGGTTTGGCTGACTTTTTGTCATTGATGAAAAGAAGAGAATATATTTATGCGGTCATGTGTTAAAATCAAGTTATTTATTACATCAAAGAGACAGATTGTAAACATTTCAATGTTGAGGCCTAGGATTTTTCTTGGGAAAGAAATGTGCATGAAGAAATATCTTTTCACTGCTTTGGGAGAAAATGAGTCAGTTACCAAATGAAAGGATTTCTGGTGAGCAGACAGAATTGTGCTTATTGTTTTAAAAATGTCATTGTCTCTCAGCAAGTTATCCCATATGAAAATAACATGATTGGTTAGTGATGATATTGTGTTCTAACATAAAATGTTATTTTTTTTGTGACATTGTTCTGTTACTGAATCTGAAATAATATTGTTTGATTCGCTGATGCTGTCACATAGCTAACAAACCTTGGCCTAGATTTTCGAAATGATCATAGCCCTACGAACCTCTTATGTCCATTCTTAACCCATTGGCTTCGATTAAAGTTAAGAATTCTTATGGATACAAACTTTTTGAAAATCTAGGCCCTTGATTGTATCTCTTGTAAGAGCAAATAAGTTGTTTCGAAAATTCAGTGCTGAACCCTGCTACGGATTTGTGTTGATGACCTTGTGAACACAACATGAACATAATCTACTGGTGGACATGTTGCTAATGCAGTTAATGTCGGACAAGAAATATTAAAATGTTTGTTCTATTTCTGTATCCAAAGTGTCCCTCGCCAAATGCATGAGCTAGTTTTGCATGGATGTTGCCTGGCATTTTGATAGAACCTTGTGCTTGATTTATCTCATTTACTATTACTGAAGTTTTCCTTTACGTACATGAGTCCATTCCTTTTTCGATAAATTGTACTTTCCCACTAAAAAGGACAATGTTATTGTTGCAGAAAAAATGTGGAATATTGTTATGAAAGTTATTGTAAATGAACAAAAGACAGCAACCTTATTTTTGGATTTAAATTATCGGTCAGAACTGAAATTTGTGAACATTTAAGATTTTGTAATTTGTTAAGTGATCACGGACAGTTTTCATCAAGTGTCTGTAGTCTTTTGTTGCATCTCTGACATGATGAAAAGCTGCTATCGAGGACCGTGTCATGTTTGAAACTATTTAGCCTTACTTAAATTTTGTGTTGTTATACACACATGCATGTGTAGGAAAACACTAAGTTTTCCATGATCAGATCAGTTGAGATTCATGTTAACACATCTAGGAAGTTCGATAAAGATCTCCTAATTTCTTAAAACATACAGACCTGGGCCAGATCTCTAAAAGATCTAGATGCCCCAGAAGGTTCTGTTTGGGTCCTGAATGTTTCTTACTATACAGATCAGTTACTGGGTGGTGGGGAAGCCTAGTGGTTAAAGCGTTTGCTCGTAACACCAAAGACCCGAGTTCAATTCCCCACATGGGTACAATGTGTGAAGCCCATTTTTGGTGTCCACTGTCGTGATATTGCTGGAATATTGCTAAAAGCGATGTAAAACTAAACTCACTCACTCACTAATGATTTACTCGCCCCAAAAAGTGATATCGTTGGCCCAGAACTTTCCCCATTCTACCTCCATTGTGTTTGATCAAAACAAGTAAAACTGGGTTTTGTTACACTAATATGGACAGCTATCATGAAAGGAGTATAACTACTAGTCTCAATATACTTTTATAGGACATAGGGTTCATTGAGAGTTAATAGATTTGGTAATTATTACAATGTGGTGAATGTCTCAAACAAGAATGTAGTGCTTATATAGATGTAGTTATGTTTTGTTTGCTTCATATCATAGAGATACCACGCCTAGTGCAAGCTTTGCATATCATGGCACACATGGTTGTCGGTATTTGGTATACTACTTCCCTATATAATGTTGTTATCAAAATATATATTTATCAACGGAAAGGCTTGAAAGGTACTGTAGATACTACAGCATGCAGTTGAAAATGTTTTTGCCTTAGCCGTCCTTGTTTGCAATTTATGTTCTGTTTTGTTGTAAATTACTGTAATGATTATATATCATTGTGATTGTAAGAATGTATATTAGTTTGTATTTATTTAAATGAGAGTGCTGATTTCGTGACTTTCTGTTGTTGAAAGACTGTCTTGTCCATCTCAGTCTATAGTTGCAGAATACTGATAATCTAGAGCAGAATGAAGAAGTTATTGCTAATTTGACAGACTTTCTTAAATCTGGTTTATTTTCTTGACTGGTATATATTTGGTTGTTTTCTTTGATTACCTGGAAAATACTCTTTGTTCAGTAAACAGGATTATAAAATTAGTTTATGAAAGGATTTTTTATTAAGAATAATGCTTTTACTCTGCTTTGCTTTCATAATTAGATAGAATATAGTTCACTTACAATTTTTGATTGCACATAAGTTATATTTCTGCTTGTAGCTTAGCATGCTCCGGACACTTTCGATAGGGATTAGACTTTATTGTGGAAATGTTGAATGATAACTGCCAGGAATGTGAGAGTGAAAACATGCTGTATTAAAAGGGGTATTGCTTGCAGTGTCAAACATGGTTTTTGCCAAAAAGATATTGTTCAATGTTCTTATACATGTAAAGTTTTTAGTGTAGACATTGCCATGACGTTCTAAAACTGTGCATAAAAAGTGTTATTCTTTGCAATATTCATGGACAGATTTTCTTTCAGCAAAGGAACATGTACCAATGATACAAAGATGTAAGCATATTTCCTAATTCTTGGCCAGGGCTGACAACCTAGCCATTGAAATTAACTACTGTAACGTAAATAATTTAGTCTTTCAATTGCCCTTAGAAACTAAAGAATGTTTGATTTGTCAAAGTGTTGTACACTTGTGGGATCTTTCCAAGATGTTAGTTTCGGAGTCTGCATGAGGAGCTATTCTAGGTTTATCCATGGAAACAATGTCATGTCAGTGTGACCTTTACATTGCTGTTTGCTTCTAAAGGAGACAGGGGCGGTGGGGTAGCCTTGTGGTTAATGCGTTCCCTCATCACACCGAAGGTCCGGGTTCAATTACCCACATGTGTGAAGCCTATTTCTGGTGTCCCCCGCCATGATGTTGCTGGCATATTGCTGAAAGCGATGTAAAACCATACTCACTCTAAAGGAGACAGCTGGTTGAAGTCAGTGATGTATGAGTACCCCTTTTAGATATCCTCATTTTGCTTTAGATGACGTCAACAGTTTGATAACAGCATGTCCAAATTTGTCCCACTTGTGAGAACTTTTTTCACAATCAAATGGAGAATGTTGGCAGTGTTCTCTCTTAGCATTTACTGTAAACAAATAGTATCTCTGAACTTGTTGTATATTTAATATGAAAGCTAATGGCATTATGATGATGCAATGTGATAGTAGTAAGTCATGTAGCTCCCACCCACTCTGTAACACAGTGCTGGTGAGGAGGATTGTAGATACACTGTCATGCTCACTGAGATGGCTGAAGACTGGACGACCAGGCATGGTCATGTATACCAATACTGTCAGGATGGTCAGCATATTTCTCATTCCAGGATGGAAATTAAAACATTATATATAGATCTGTCTTGTGTTTTTTTGTTGCGAATGAAACAATAATGATAATTGCAGCCAAATCCATACTTAAGTTAAAGCATGCATTATTACCCACAATTTTTTCATCAGCTGCCAGGAGAAATATGACCCAGTCTACCCGTAAGGAAGGTCAACAGTCACGTTACTTTCTTCTACTGGGTACCCATCATCTGCTGGATGAACAGAGGCATATTTTGAAGGAAGTCTCTTTTAGGAGATCTTAAGGAGACGTCCCAATTGAACCCTGCAAATCTCAAATTGAAATAGCGCATGTCACCTGTTGTCATCTGCTTAATAGTGCCATAACACCATGTGTGTTCAAATTGCTGTTATTTGATTAATGGCGTGGCAGCTTTAAACCTGTGCTCGTGCATTGTTTTCTGCCTTCACATGTCCTTGACTTTATAATCAGTACATGGGCATGGGTTGCAGAGTCCTCTATGGTCCCTGACATGTGCAGAGCTTATGTGAGCCAAAAGCCATGTTCCAGGTTGCTCCCATTCTCATGCATTGTAACAAAGTTGTGCATAAAGCTGGGCTTTCCTCTCCTATCAGGCTGACAGGCCATGATATTTAATGAAATACTATTTGAAGCAGAACTGGACACAACTGCCTCCAGGATTGGTAGCTACTACTTTCCGCTACTGGTCATAGATACTAATTAATTTGGATCTGTTTCTTAGAAATGACAGAAAAACAATGATGTTCTTGTTAATTTTATTAATGCAAATATTCACAGAATACCACTGAAATCTATTTTAGTGGACTGGAAAGCTACAGGTGCCAGGAATGCATATATGAGTGTTGGTGAAAGTGTCATGTACACATTTATATCAGTTAAGATGAACTCTAAACTCAAACGGGACACTTGCAAGATGGTATTTGTTGTTACCCAGCCTGGTGCTTGACAACAAAGCATACAAGGACTGGTCAACTCAGGAGATTGTACACATGGTCTCCATGGTGAACCATGGCATGGTGATTCATGAGCTAGCACTATAAAACACCACCAGAACAAGTAGCCACACACACACTCCAGCATATTTGGGCTGGGACGGGTCCAAACTTTCTACCCGGGTATCCCACCCCCTATTACCCTACCCTACCCTGATACCCGTTGTATTAATTCCTGACATCAAATTTGTAAGAAATGGCAATACATTCTTCAGCTTGGAGGTTAAATTTTCGAGTTTTTCAATATCTTAACCATGTATTATATTCAAAACAGGTGACTACACAATTATGTCTAGATCTTCAAAGACAATACAACCTTTTAGTCATGACAATAACATATTACATTGTTTAATCTATTAGTCACATGGTCATAATGGGTCCGGGTATTGAGACGGGTACCCGGGTCCAACTCATTACCCACCTGTTCTGGGTATCTTGGTTATCCGTCCCAGCTCTAGAGCATATCACTATTTAAGTGCAATCATCTTGAATGTGACATTAAACCAAGTTCACCTCACTGGCTCATTTCAATATATGGAACATTTAAAATGTCTTATAATAGGTTTCAAAGTCACGTGCATTCGTATACCAAGTGGGGCGGTGGGGTAGCCTAGTGGTTAAAGCGTTGGCTCGTCAAGCCGAAGACCTGGGTTCGAATCCCCACATGGGTACAATGTGTGAAGCCCATTTCTGGTGTCCCCCTGCCGTGATGTTGCTGGAATATTGCTAAAAGCGGCGTAAAACCAAACTCAGTCAGTCAGTCGTATACCAAGTATGTACAATGTATGCAATGTAAATACACAATGAAAAAAGCCAAATAATTACATTTTCTTCAGTAAAAACACAATGGCTCAAAGATGACAACAAAAAGCAAGAGCAGGGTCAGCCTCTTTGGCTTAAGAAAGCTACCTGGATGTCCAAATATGGTGTGGACATAACAATACTACAGTACAATACAATCTATGCTCACTTAGAGCAATTAAAAAATCAATTTGTTGAAGCAGAAAGTTGGGTGTCATTTTCATGTCAATTGTTCATGACACCTTGTTGAACTGCTCAGTGACACAGAGGAGGACCTGACCTCATCCTGAATGTACCAATATTTCATCAAATGGAGAATCCTATGTTCAGCTTTCTGAACTTTACTCCTTCATGTGTTTAAAGAGTACATCTTTCAATGTCTGGAGTCACATCATTTCTTGATTATTAATGATATAACTTCTTGAATAATTATATACATGTTAGTCAGTACTGACATAACAGTTTATTTTGTGTAAGTAATAGTATAACTGCTTAATTTTGCATTACACACATATCTTCTTTGTGTCTTACAACAACATGCTTCTCCACTTTGACGTAACATCACATCTACTTTCAGTAATCATTTCACTTTCATGTAATTTCACATCTACTTTCAGTAATCATTTCACTTTCATGTAATTTCACATCTACTTTCAGTAATCATTTCACTTTCACATAATATCACATCTACTTTCAGTAATCATTTCACTGCTCCACTTTCACATAATGATATCACATCTACTTTCAGTAATCATTTCACTTTGACGTAATGATATCACATCTACTTTCAGTAATCATTTCACTTTGACGTAATGATATCACATCTGCTTTCAGTAATCATTTCACTGCTCCTCCACTTTCACGTAATGATATCACATCTACTTTCAGTAATCATTTCATGTAATCCTTCTTCAAGTCTATGACACCAGTGTATTTATAGTCTTGTCTCCCTTCAGAGACAAGTACAGATGTTGTCCAAACTGTCAGATTTCTTCATCATGTCTCCAGTCATGACACCCTATCTTCCTGAACAACTGATTCTTAAATTGGACACCCTTAGCTTGTTCTCAGCACCCCTCTAACTGTTTGCACTACACTTTGGCATTTGAATACTTCAAGGTCGGTTCCATATCAATCAATGTGGTATAGATCCTTAAAAGTATATTCCAGCAGAACGGGAAACAAACCGCAACATCATTAACACATCTCAAAAACATTATTTTTAAGGAAATCTATTTTAGTTGAAAAATTACTTTTCAGTGTTGTATTTCAAGGTCTTAGAGTGAACAAATATTTTTCTCTCTTCACTAAACCATCTTATAATTCCAGAAGCAAGAGTACATTCTGTTAGTGCAAAACAGGAAATAATAGTGTGAATGTTAACACAAACCAGGGAATAATAATGTGAATCTTGAAACAGCTGGTTATTCCTTGCTGAGATACCACCACAGCCCATACTTTGTTTCCAAGGTAAATGCTATGCTACACCACATATTCCACAAATATTACCAACATGGTGCATGAATTAGCTGTCCACTTAACTCAACAGGGCTTGTTATGTGTTTATCAAATTCTGAAAAAAAACCCAGCTAACTTTTGTATGGGTTCATATTTTAAAAGTGCTAGTTACAGATAATTTATGACTGACATAAAAAACTAGAATAATTCAGAACACTTCAGTATGTATTTGCCATAGTGACGAAAATCTGTATATTGGTATAGGCCCTGTTTGACAGTCTCTTATCAATGTTGATAGGTACTCCTCCTGGCTCAATCTGGAGTCTTCATACTCCTAGGCTCCGCTCGGCTCCCTGTAAGCTGGTCTGAATACCTCTGGGGTTTCTGACACCATGGTTTAGGGATAGTCCTGCCTTAATCTATAATGCCGCCTCATGTGCCGCGGCAGATGAGACAGAGGACCATAATCATCATCATCATCATCATAATCATCATACCCATAGCGACCATATCCATAAGGCTGTCGTTCTCTTTCCTGTGCTGGTGAGATTCTTGGAATACTCATCCCAGATCTTTCCATCAAGTAATGCATAACGTCACCATGGGATGAAATTGCTGAGAGGTTGAGAGGAAGCATCCCATTACTGTCCCGCGCATTCATATCCGCCCCCATGTCCAACAGTTTCTTTACAAGGTCAAGGTTACCATTCTTTGCAGCTATGTGTAATGGAGTTTCGCCAGTACTGGAACTCTTGTTAACACTTATGCCAGTCTCCAACAAAAGGTCAATAAGGTCGCGGTCACAGTTGCTGACGGCCTCGTGAAGAGGAGCAACTCCACTCATTGTGTAGACGTGGGCTTGGGCACCTTTGTCTAACAGATATTCAGCAGACTGTGTATCCCCGAGGTAGAATGCTTCATGCAGCGGTGTCCAACCATCTCGTCCTTTCCTGTTCACATCTGCTCCTTTCTCAATCAGCATCTTCACCATTTCTATGTCTGTGTTGGCAACTGCAACTTGCAACAGAGGTCTTTCATCATCTGCAGGAATATTTACGTCTGCTCCTTTCTCTAAAAGCAGTTTGGCTGCATCTGTCTTCTTGTAGTAGACAGCATCATGGATTGGAGTTTTGCCCAATTTTGTTTTTGCATTTACATCAGCGCCATGTTCTAACAGATGCTTCACTACCTCTATCTCATTCTTGCAGACAGCAAGATGGAGAGCCGTTTCTCCCAGTTCAGTCATGGCATTCACTTCTGCTCCTTTCTCGAGAATTAGTTTCATTGCAGGACCATTGTTGCCCAGAGCAGCAAAATGTATAGGCTGGGCTTTGTTTTCAAGAAGGAGGCTGAATTCAAAATTTAGGATCTTATCAGCATCTTGTACTGATGCAGTAGAACTGACTGGTGCCATAGCATTCAGAAGTGCAGACAATCCAACTGTTGGTTTGGCAGGCTCAGGTTCATCTTTAGGTCGATATCGCATTGATACGATCTCCGTCACACCGCCTCTATAACAGCAAGCCAGCAAAGCAAGGATCCATTGTTCCGCAGAACCCAAACCATCGTCAGCCATGCGAGACAAAGATTCCTTTTCAACAAATCCTTTAACCACCAAGTCTCTACCATACCATGCAGTCCAGAACAGGAAGGAGAGTCCATTTTCATCTCTGGCTCGATATACTGCTTCCAGGTTGCCAAGACGATCAAGATACTCAAAGAAATGGTTTACAAATTTCTCATCTGTGAAAGTTTGATGCATGCTTGCAGTCCGGATTTTTCCTTGTAAGATGTCAAACACTAACCTACGAGCTAGGATGTCAAACTTGAGAGTGTAGACATTGAATGTACACTCATGCATGCCCTCAGCATACAGTCCACTTCGGACAAATTCCATGAAGACGTCAGGACTGGCCATCTCTATAACCATTTGAGCATTACCATGGGAAAACTGTCTGAGTACATGTTCTGTTATACGGTGATGAATCATACGATAGCTATCAGTCTGTATCGGTAACAGGAACACTCCGGACAAAACCCGAGCAGCCTCTTGTAGGATCCAGAGTTCAAGGTCATCCACAGGGGCCTTCAGTGTCCTCAGAATCTTCTTAAGATTTTCCAACATTTCTTGGTCCAGTTCCGACATCTGTTTCCCTTTCAGATTTATCATGCCGCCATTCAAGGCTGCACACACCAGCACGCCAAACACAGTCTTGTCGTAGCTGTCAACCTTCTCAATTTCTTGAGGAATATATTTAGAGGGATCATTGAAGAACACCCTTCCTAAATTCCGAAATGTTTTGCTGATGCTATACAATCTACAGCAAAGGGGGTAACCTGAATATGAACTGTATGCCATCATGCCAGCAGAATCACCGTAGGATAAATAGCCAGCATTACTACGAAGAATGTCCGCCCGCTCTTCTGGCTGAAGACCTAGTCCATCGGCTGATATATCAACCATGTGACAGTCTTGAAACACCTTCCGCCCATGAAGATACTGCTGGACCTTTTCATAGAGATGACGCCCACATGTTATGACCAGCCTCAGCTTTGACGTACCGGCCCTCACGGAAAACTGCATCATGTCTAGGTAGTCCACCCATAACTCTATTTTGGACAGATTGGCGGTGTGGGTTCCAAAAATATCATCTACAATAATAATCTGAAATGATGTTGGGTCTACTTTCTCTTTGAACTCAGCTGGGGATTTGATGTATAAAACTTCATACCTGGGCCCTGAGCTGCTCATGTGGCTGTTGTAATCTTCGGCTAAATATTTAGCGCATGTTGTCTTCCCCTCACCAGGGTATCCCAGAATGACGACTAGATGGTGAAAGTCAAGAACTTTCCTTATTGCTGTATATGCTTTTGTCTTCTTGAATACACTCTCCTCTGATTTATGGCTTTTACAAAACACAGTCCTCCATTCTGAATAACAGAAAAAACAAATTACTGAATACATGGAATATGATATGGTCTTTGTTACATACTGGGTGTTAACTGGCCTCTGTTACATACTGGGTGTTACCTGGCCTCTGTTACATACTGGGTGTTAACTGCTCTCTTTTACACACTGGGTGTTAACTGCTCTCTTTTACACACTGGGTGTTAACTGCTCTCTTTTACACACTGGGTGTTAACTGGCCTCTGTTACATACTGGGTGTTACCTGGCCTCTGTTACATACTGGGTGTTAACTGCTCTCTTTTACACACTGGGTGTTAACTGCTCTCTTTTACACACTGGGTGTTAACTGGTCTCTGTTTCATACTGGGTGTTAACTGGCCTCTGTTACATACTGGGTGTTAACTGGCCTCTGTTACATACTGGGTGTTAACTGGCCTCTGTTACATACTGGGTGTTAACTGGCCTCTGTTACATACTGGGTGTTAACTGGCCTCTGTTACATACTGGGTGTTAACTCTGTTACATACTGGGTGTTAACTGGCCTCTGTTACATACTGGGTGTTAACTGGCCTCTGTTACATACTGGGTATCAACTGGCCTCTGTTACATAATGGGTGTTAACTGGCCTCTGTCACATACTGGGTGTTAACTGCTCTCTTTTACATACTGGGTGTTAACTGCCTCTCTTTACATACTAGGTGTTACACTGGGTGTTAACTGGCCTCTGTTACATACTGGGTGTTAACTGGTCTCTGTTACATACTGGGTGTTAACTGGTCTCTGTTACATACTGGGTGTTAACTGGCCTCTGTTACATACTGGGTGTTAACTGGCCTCTGTTACATACTGGGTGTTAACTGCTATCTTTTACATACTGGGTGTTAACTTGTCTCTGTTACATACTGGGTGTTAACTGGCCTCTGTTACATACTGGGTGTTAACTGCTATCTTTTACATACTGGGTGTTAACTGGCCTCTGTTACATACTGGGTGTTAACTGGCCTCTGTTACATACTGGGTGTTAACTGGCCTCTGTTACATACTGGGTGTTAACTGCTCTCTTTTACATACTGGGTGTTAACTGGCCTCTGTTACATACTAGGTGTTAACTGGCCTCTTTTACACACTAGGTGTTAACTGGCCTCTGTTACATACTAGGTGTTAACTGGTCTCTGTTACATACTGGTTATCAACTGCTCTCTGTTACATACTGGGTGTTAACTGGCCTCTGTTACATACTGGGTGTTAACTGGCCTCTGTTACATACTGGGTGTTAACTGGCCTCTTTTACATACTGGGTGTTAACTGGCCTCTGTTACATAATGGGTGTTAACTGGCCTCTGTTACATAATGGGTGTTAACTGCTCTCTTTTGCATACTGGGTATTAACTTGTCTCTGTTGCATACTGGGTGTTAATTGGCCTCTGTTTCATACTGGGTGTTAACTGGTCTCTGTTACATACTGGGTGTTAACTGCTCTCTGTTACATACTGGGTGTTAACTGGTCTCTGTTGCATACTGGGTGTTAACTGGCCTCTGTTACAGACATTTACATCATCCTCTATATCTACAAAACTGAATTCCATTAAAACTGCACCTACATCTGGATTTATACCCATTGCAAATAACGGGCCAGTGATTTTGATTAACATTTTACCGACCAATCAAACTTTAAAATAATTCAAAACGTTAGAAAGTTAACTCGTATTACCTAAAAGACAGAGCCCCAATTGTTTTAATGGACATGACTACATCCTTTCCATCAAAAATATTGTTGAGAGCTTTCTAGGGGTGAAACAGTATACCGCAGTATTAGTAGAAGCACGGTATTTAGCCTTCGGTTCGGTATACCATAATGCAATCCAAATAATCGGTATTTTCGGTTTTCATACCGTCATTTTATTAACCCTTTTAAACCTTTTCTAAAATGTCTAGAAATCGAATCAGTTTGTCCAAATCTATGCATTTCTTTTCTTTTCTGCATTATGATCATATCTCATATACCAGACCGAACCAAAACAGACCGAACCGAAGGCCTTGGTCCACAATACATACCGTACCACGGTAAGATCGTACCATTTCACCTCTAGGGCTTTCTATTCAATGTCACTTAGTTTCTCAAAATTACATTTTTCACAAACCTTATCATAATTAATGGGGTTGGTTGCCATGTCGCCATATTACCAACCCAACATTGAACCTGATTTTTAACCTGCATTTTGATTGGTACATTAGACTTAGTAGTGTAGCCACTCAAATAAGCAATGGAAATCAAGGGCAGGTAATTTGAAATAACAAGAACCACGTAAATGGATTCAGAGGTTATTTAATTTTCATGTACCGGTAATATAGCCACTGATACTACACTGATACATTTTAATGTCAATGATTCACTAGCCATAGTCAGTTACTTCTGACAGATAATTTGTGACAAAGGTTCTATCATCTAAAATGGATGTTACTTCTGACAGCAGAACTTACGTTCTAGGGCTTTATTTTCAAGAAACGGGAATTTTTTCTTCAAAACCTCCATCTTTTGCCTCTTCGCTTCTGCTTCTCTCTTCTTTCTCTCCTTCTCTGCCCTCCTCTGCTGGCGACGTTCTTCCTGCTGCTGGTGGATGTCGACGAAGGCACCTTGAGCTTGACCTTGGTTCTGTCCATGGCTGGATACTCGGATGCTACAGTTCTGTAGGTAGCCCATGTTAACATTCAGAATGCTTGACAGATTCCTCAAGGCACTGGGGTCATATCTGCCATCATCATTGATGATATATATATTAGAAATCGGTGGACCTGGAATAGAAATATATGATTTGAAATATTTTGTTCCCCAAATCTAAGAATGATGTACTACTTAAAAAGGTTAACCACCACCTGATTCTTTCATATTACGGTTACACCGTTCGCTCGTCACGCTGAAGACCCGGGTTCGATTCACCACATGGGTACAATGTGTGAAGCCCATTTATGGTGTCCGCTGCCATGATATTGCTGGAATGTTGCTAAAAACGATGTAAAACCATAATCACTCACTCACCTTCATATTGAATTTAAGTTTTACAGTAAATTATCAAGGATTCTAAACTAAGTAAGTGTCATGGCAGGCAATTTTGAAAAAATACCCGGGTATATATATTTTTAGTAAGTAAGAATGGAAGTCTAGAAGTAATATCATAACCCTAAGGTTGAAACTTAAATATTTGTGGGGATCCCTAGATCCAAAAACTATAGCAGAAATTCTCAAGGGCAAACATATAACTAAGTTACCATTGTAAGATCACACAGAAATATTTTCAGTAAAATATTTCTGTGTGACTATTAGTCTATCAGCTGATTTATTTTGGTTTTACAATGACCAAAATTATATAAAAATGTAAACCAATAATGATTGAGAAAGAAGTGCTAGTCTTTAAATACATGTATCAATGTCTGGCTTGAGGAAGCAGTAAAATCGCCTGTTTCAAGCAGAGGTGGTTACTGAGATTTGAAACCTCTGATTTACTACACAAACCTTAAGAAGCCATGAAAATATGCATTTGCTTACCTGCCATTGTGTTGTATGACTGAGTCTCAGCTGTCAGCAAGATTCAGATCTGAAACAAAAATATCCTTCCTTTATTTTAAGTGATAAAATATAAGGTTTACATTTATTACATTATTAGGGCTCCATGTCCTGTTAAAATAATCTATTCAACAATGTCATTACACAGCCCCATAAGGCACTATTGGTATTCAAAAAATTTAAATTCCTGCACCACTATCAAATATGGTTGAAGTTCAATGACAACACTTACTCAAAACCATTTGTTAACCTATAGGAAAATAGCAGTACCGGGATTTCCCGTATTTAAGCCCTGGGCTTAATAACGGAAAATGACCCCTCTCGTTAACAAATATAAACCCCATAATTAAGCCCAGGGCTTAAATTCAGGAAATGCTTGTAACTGAAGAAAATGATTCTTAGACACAGTAAAATGGAATGAACTTTAATACTGATACAGGGCTCCAGTAATTTTTCAACATCAGGAGTATTTACTCCTTATTTTTTCAATACAGGAGTACTGGAAAACCTTAACAGTACATTTAGAGTACTGAATAGAATTTAATGGAGTATCAGTAATCTTGTGTTTCATTTCATATATGCACCACAACATTGCTACGCTTAAGTAAAATGATAAAAAAACAATAAAACAATAATTTTTCAGAAAAATATGTCTGTAAATAATTCTAAGACCATACACCATTGGCGTGGTGCGTATCTTCTACGTTTTCTAAATTATTTCCTACCGTATCGTGCATATTTTTATCCGTACATACGCCGATACGGCCCTTATCTGGAGCCCTGCTGATATTATCATATTTTATTGCGGCTGCCTGTGAGTCATATGTATTGAGATTGTCTATTTGAGTATAGAGTACCTGACTTCTCTTTGGGACTCCAAAACGTTCTTAATTTGGGCCCATGGGCTTAATAACGATAAAATATCCCGTTTTTAAGCCCATGGGCGTAATTTTGAGTGAGCTTAAATACGGGAAATCCTGGCAATAGGAACCAGACATTAGATACAAGGAAGCTGGTATTCTAGTGCTACATTTAACACAGTGAGTGATTCAGAAAACATCTAATTGTGGAAGGATTATGTCCTTTATACGGTCAATCTTTCAAGTTCTCCTTTTTCCCACAATGTATATTAAATAAGCAAAATTGCGTTTATTTAGAACAAATTGGCTCTATTTTTATTGATAAATGGAGGAAAACAAATCTCAAGAGGGCAAACATTTGGTATACATAATTAGCCAATAAACGCCAGTATATCTATCTATCATGTTAATGTATCAGTACTAATTTCATGTGAAAAGTATTACTGTTAGGGGTTCAATTGGGAAGCTGAAGTCAGGATCATGAAACTCAATCCAGTTTGAAAACTTCAGATAAAAATAACGAGAGAACAAAAAAGTGCTTTATACATCTGTGGTTTTAAACCATAAAGCAGGAAGTATGTGAAATGTATCTGGTGATCCATACAGAGAGGTCATACTGGCCCTAACAATTTGAATTTGTTGTCACTTTAAAACGGTTCTTTTTTCCAAATAGTCCGATATTTGCAAACCGAAAGTAGGAATGCTTAGCTTCCATGATGTGCCATAAATATAGGTCACTATTAAACAGGTCTTGTTTGTAAGGATATCTAAACTGCCTCAGTTATCGCAGATTATCGGCAATCGGTAAAACAATGACATTAACTACTAATATCATTTGTAATGGGTAATCCCAGTGGATAGTAAATATAATTCAGCAGAGGTATGTGGAACACCCACATATGGACGCAGTAATAAGGTTAACTAGAAGACGGTAACTCTGAAGAGACGACCTACTATCAGGAAGACTATCATTTTTTGTGGCTTATAGCAGCTACAAATATTCTAGTATATCCTGGTATAACAATTGTAGGGGGCATGTACGATTATGAGTAGAAATTCGTCTCACCTATCGAGTCTCGTCAGCTGCCATTCCAACTGCGCCAGTTTTGTGCAATTTGACGATAGGGAAACTACGCTGTGGGGAATCCCCTTATCGGGCGGACTGGTTACCGTCTACTGATGTCGGACGCGCATTCCGACTACAAAGTTTGTTTTGTGAAGGTCCGTGGCTGTGTTGTTCAGACTGGTTTCCTGACTTTTATGCATCATTTGAATATGCACACCATGTAGTGCGGGAAAACAGAGACGGAACATAGCGAGCTATAGATGTAAGGCCATTGTTCACGTCTCCCTGGGAGATTTACTGGTTTCATTGATGGTACGCGCAGTCACCTATCCACCGTTTTACAAATAAGGAGCCCAGTTTCTTACAGCGACAAATGCGCGATGGGTCCAAGAATGATGTTTTCCCGTGAGTTATTCTTATGGAACAGTGCTGTAGGAAGAAACATCTTTTGATTTTGTTTACTTTTTGAGAACGTCAAGCAGACCTAGTTCTGTTTTTTGTTTTGTTGTTTGTTTTGGGTTTTTTTGGCGAAAATATTACATATTTCTCATACGGGGTTCATATTTTTCATACGATGCCCTAGGGCAAAATATCACTTTGTCATTGTGACGTGACGTCATGAACAATGCTATGACGTCACGTTTCTTCTATGACGTTGCGTTCTACATGCAGCGTCGGCGGGTAGCCAGCCTATGTTTGAAATGAGATTTGGGTTTACTTTCCTCAATATGACGACTTCGGTAATAAAGAGAATATTATATTCGTGCCCATATCATATTATGTTTACGACACTTGTGCCTAAATATCGTATATCCCTCGCTCTCGCTCGGAAAACACCAACATTTAGGCACTCGTGTCGTAAACATAGTATGACATTTGCACTCATATAATATCCTCTGTATCTTCCTTTACTGTATTTGGGACTAAATAAAGCAGAAAATAAGAATGACAAGTGGTGAATATTTGTGGCCTTTCGGGATGTGTGATAGTGGCTAAAAAGCCATGGAGAGTGTATTGTTCGGGATACACTTCCTGTTCTTTTCCAATGCGAACGTAGTATGATAATATTTATTACCTGCGAGGGAGAAAAATGTCCGGGGTCATATTTTTCATACGATGCCCTTGGGCAAAATATCACTTTGTCATGGTGACGTGACGTCATGAACAATGTTATGACGTCACATTTCTTCTATAACGTTGCGTTCTACATGCGGCGGCGATGGGTAGCCATATTTGAAAGTAGATTTGGGTTTATTTTCCTGTTTTTTTGGTGGTAAATATATCTAGAAAGAATCAAGAAAACAAACTGCGAAGATTATTTATTTGTCACTTTTGTCAGTCTAATGATGGGAAGATGCAAGCAAGGGTGTTAACCGATATACCAGTCAGTTAACTCTCTTGCTGCGGCATGATGCCGCAAGGATAATCATTCACCTTTGATAGTGGATTCTCTGGGTCGCCGCTTTCAACATTATTCCTGTTATGTTTGATCTGACAAAGTGTTGTACACTTGTGGGAGTTTTCCAAGATGTTAACTTCGGAGTCTGCGTGAGGAGCTATTCTAGGTTTATCCATGGAAACAATGTCATGTCAGTGTGGCCTTTACATTGCTGTTTGCTTCTAAAGGAGACAGTGAGTGAGTGAGTTTAGTTTTACGACGCACTCAGCAATATGGCGGCGGTCTGTAAATAATCGAGTCTGGACCAGATAATCCAGTGATCAACAGCATGAGCATCAATCTGCGCAATTGGGAACCGATGACATTGTCAACCAAGTCAACGAGCCTGACCACCCGATCCCGTTAGTCGCCTCTTACGACAAGCATGGGTTACTGAAGATCAATATTCTAACCCGACCTTCAGGGTTCTAAAGGAGACAGGGGCGTTGTGGTAGTGGTCAAAGCGTTCCCTCATCACAGCGAAGACCCGGGTTCGATTCCCCACATGGGTACAATGTGTGAAGCCCGATTCTGGTGTCACCCGTCGTGATATTGCTGGAATATTGCTAAAACCGGCGTAAAACCAAACTGACTCCCTTAAATTTGAAAACCCTAAGCGCCTCAGTCGCAGTTATTAACGGTTTGATTGATTCACGAGCACGAGTATGTGCAGATAAAAATAGAAACACGAGCTGGGTGAACCGGGAATCGAACCCACGATCATAGGTTTCTGGCGGGAGCAAGGGACGCAACTCTGCAGAGCGAAACGCTGCGCCTCAGTATTTTCTTGTTGATATGACTTAGAAAACCATAGTTTCACACGAGAAATTTAATAATTTCATGTAATCTGAAAAAGGTATTTCCCCACCAAATAGCAAAGAGTATATCTACTGCGGTGTTAACATTATCCAACATGTCAACTCTGTTTTCTGTGACAAGATTATGAGAACCCGACCCAGTGTGTTTAGTCATAGGGACCAGTCGTAGAACACAGGGCGGGATGGGGATTTAGGGGCATGAACGTGCTGAATAAATTACCTTCCCCTTATGCTTGTCATGACCTTCAAATGACCCTCCCAGAAAATATAAAATGCAAAAACAGTTTATATTCATTTCGAACTGTCCTTTCAATCATGACTCCCCAAATCTGGTATATTTTTCCTCCACTGGAAACTGTCATATATTTCGGTGACCTCCTCAATTCCCTATGACACATACCCCCATTCCTAAATCTAATGACCGGTCCTGTAAATAAAATAAAATACAGAATATGTAGGATTCAAATCGCAGTGCATTGAACCGATCTATTCCCTTGCTGGTGAAGAACATCATAGCTCAGTGTTGTATAATACTACACCTCTCCTCCACCTCGCATGTATTCGTTTAAATGCCATATTGCGCTGCGACGAATGAAGGACGAGAGAAATATTACCTGCGACTGTTCACCTGCGATTTGGTTAATCGTTTCGCTGTAATAACCTGTGTTGTTTTAATTTCTGCTTTGTAATACATCGTAATTTCAAAAAATATTATTATACCATCGGTGTTACTGGACAATTACGGATGTCGATATGGATCATGTGATTGACACTTCATAATACTTTTCTTGCTAAAATGTATGTAATTACAGACTCTTTAACAATGACATTAGTTAATAAAACCCACATATTTACCTTCTATAGTCAATGCAGTAGGTGGTGATAAAATTCCTATCGGGGATTCCCCTGACATGCGCAGATCACAAGCAATATTTGGTCAATGATGGGCGTTCCTTCTGGTCAGTATAGGGGTCTATTCTAGGCGATATAGTATTATACTATTCATATACTATTCACTATTTTATGGCATTAGATGAAGGTGTCACATTATAGATTTATGCTATCATATTTACTCATGGTTCATATACAGATGCAAATTATCAAACAAGAAAATATGTATGGCCGGGAAGGTAGGCTAAAATCGCGACGCTTCTCGGTTCAGTGAGCGTAGCTTTCGCGGTACTTGCAATGCAATGTTATGGCTGAATGAACACGGTGCTCCTCACTCGGAGGCTCTGACAAATTACAAAGAAAACAGGCTTACCGTGGACGCTCTTTCATTTGGGCACACATACTAATATAAATACAGTTATTTACCCATTTTCATGTCTATTCTTCATTATGCATTGTCTTTAATTCGACATTAAATTATCATTTTCCATGGAAAAACACATTTCTGTCAATCTACTTAACTGCAACTTAAATATACCATAATATTATAGCAATGTTTTGAAAAGAAATTCTTATGAAAATGTATTCCAAGGTAGGTATAACTATCAGACATGCTCAAAGGTACATCACCAAGATAAATTTTTTGAAAATTAACTCTTGCAGTTCCAGAGCCAAATACGACTACTTTAGTCTTTTCGATATTTGAATTTAACTTCCACTTTACACAATATTAATACAATGCTGTAACTCATCCGCACTCAAATGAGACCATGTCATCAGCATACATCAGTACCAAAATCTTAACAAATCCAAATATATCATCAATTTCTACATCATCACAGGCATTAGTCGCTAGATATGATTCAACGTCATTAATAAACAGTGAAAAAAGGAGAGGTGATAAATTTTCTCCCTGGCATACGCCTTTACAACAGTCAAAATAGGTAGTCATTTTCACCTCTTGAAACACTTGGTATTATCATACATATTATAAATAACCGTGATTAGTAATTCCGTGTTTAACAATTTTTGCCAAAGCCTCACACGCCAGACATTATCAAAGGCTTTTTGAAAGTCTATAAAAACACTATATAACTTTTTCTTCTTAGATTTAAGCTTAGTATATCAATTAATCCATTAAAAACAAAAATATTATCTTAAGTAGAGTACCCCTTTCGGAAACCCGAACCGTAAACAAGCGAAGGTTATAACAATGATTTGAAAAGAAATCTATCTACTCATGGATTATGCCTAGTGACTATTATTCTAATGGGTTTTTATAATTAAATACATCTGAAATACAATCGCCACTTATATAAAGTTCTAACGTATCAGAAATAAATCGCGATATTGGCTTAGCCAGAAGCCAAAGTTAAACCCCTCAAATCCCGGGACATCTGAAAAATAAATTTTAGCCTTCCCGGCACGACACCGATATAAGATATCACTGTATCTTATATCAACATGTTCTATGAATTAATTACTCGGTTAAAATTCTATTCTCTTACTTATTCAAATTTAATTCTGTCTAACGTCTAGGGCAGTCTTTTGGATATAATACGTAACTAAATTAGCTGTTATATATAATACCTGAATATTTCTATGACTTTATATAACTATGTAAAATATATCAACATTTTTCCTGGAATGAAAATCACGCACAGGACCGAAACATGTCAATTTCAATGTTTCATTTTCATATGTTCATAGGATCATAATCACTGTGAACATTTAAGAATAAAAGCAATGCATTTCCGTACTCTGACTTTTTACAGTGAAACCTTGTTAAACCGCACAGTCAGTACCTTGTGAAACAGTCCCGAATAATGCAGTCCTGTATTATAGAAAACCGTCTTGAGGCGAGAGAGAGAGAGAGAGAGAGAGAGAGAGAGAGAGAGAGAGAGAGAGAGAGAATATCCTGGAGAGCATTTTCCTGTAACCTTTGATCACTTTGACCTTGTTAAACCGCAGTCAGTACCTTGTGAAACAGTCCCGAATAATGCAGAGATTGGGATGGTTTTGTTCCTGATAAGTGTAGGAATACTTAACTACACGTACTATGCATATTCATATAAACAGTATAAAGATAGATATATATATATATTAAATATTTGAACATATAGTGTGTACATTATGCACATTTTATCCAATATAATGACAACATGAACTTTTATTTTTTTGGTTCATAAACTGTACGTGCTGATTTTTATTTACGAACATGAAGAATATTCTGAAAAATGGAAATTGGAAATTTACAAATAGTAGTTTGTTTTATACAATAACTTTTAATCTTCTGAATAAACTGAAAATCATTCAGTTGTCATACATGAACAGATGACCAACCCGGCCGTATGAATCCGGTGGGAGATCGGTACACGGTGTGAATAAGTACTATACACCTAGTAATTAACCAGAATCAATATCCGAAAACGCAAAGACAAAATCTGCATTCACTACTTACCATTCACAGCTGCTACTGAGAGAGCCGCCGCCTTAACTAACTTGACATGCATCTACCGAGCACTGAGAAGCTCTGGTGAAATGCCCAGCAAAATTTCCGATCAGGGGATTTCCCTTGAGCATGCGCAGACATGCAGGAAAGTTAGCCGCGAGGCTTATGAGGACGTTACAGAAGAAGCTTTCGCTCTACTCTGAGAAACACTCTGAACATAATAATCAACAGTATTGTATGTAAGCAATAATAATTAATGCAAGGCTGTACACATATAAACACAGTGCTAAAGAATAAACACATATATGCGTGTCATGCCAACCGCAATTTATACACACTCTTGAGGAACATTTTCCTCATTTTACTTCCTTGATAATAAACTCGACTGATGATCTGATATATACAGAACGTGAATATTTATAGAGCCCCTGAAATTTTCAAAGTCTTAATATAAACCGTTGATAGTTCTAAATACAATCACAATAAATTCTCAAAAATGTGTACCCGCCCCTGTGTACATACAAACGGCTATGTGTAATTTGAGTGTTTAACGATTGAATGTGTACATAGATTCATGCACACACTCTCTCAATCGCTCGCACGCAAACACACACTCACACACACACACACTTGCATGCATGGATACAAGATGTGTACAAGCAAGTGAGTGCATACCTACATACGTACGTACACACACACACACGTACGTACACACATACATACATACACACACACGTACGTACATACATACACACACACACGTACGTACGTACGTACGTACATACATACATACATACATACATACATACATACACACACACACACAAGATATGGTTTTCAGCAACCCATGCTTATCGTAAGAGCTGACTGACTCTTTGGATGGTTGAAGCATGTCACCGTGTCCCAATTGCGTAAATCGATGTTCACACTGTTGATCACTGGATTGTCTGATCATGTTCATAATGTTCAGTACTTCCCCCTAGAACTATGCTTCTATAATTGTAGTACATATAAAACTGAAATGGAGTATAACACTTGTTTGTCTATATATCTAGTTCGACATCTGTTGGATTGGTTACACGTTAAGAATCGAAAGTCATACAATACATGTCAATGAGCATTTGTCAAACCTATGATCTTGTTATAAGCCTCTCTGTCCGGCTTTGAGTGGGTTAGACGGCTCACTTTGTGTGCTGGTGATTAGGTGCTTGACTCAGAAGTTGTGGGTCCGAATCCCGGATGGGACTCAACCCAACAAAAGTACTATACAATCTGTACTGAGTAAGTGTAATACCAAATATAACATGTGTTACAAGTATATATAAAGTGCCGGTCAGAAGAAAGCGTTTGCCTATGGCTGATAATGGCTAAAAATAATGCAAAAAAGAAACACTTATACGATGGTTATGCAAAAGGAAACATATACGATGGTTTTGTGTTTGTTGTATATGTATGGGGGTGTTGCAAATATACATCACAATTATAGAGGGAGCATGGAAACACGCTTTCTTTTTTCTGTTTTTTTTTCCATTTAAAAAAATATAAATTAAAATTTCGGGATTGGTCATTTCTCATTAGGAAGGGGTCAGATTACATGTTACATGATTTCGCGAGCATGTAACAATGTTACAAGAATGGATGGTCAGAAAATATGATACAGTCTTTACACAAATCTCCACTAAGTCCCACCCAACCATTATCGTGTCCATTCCCACCCCACCCACCAATGAAACTATTAGAATCGGATGCTCTTTAACTCCCTCGGGCTGGTACATATTATCATCATAGTTTTCGCTCTCGGAAACTTTGGTACTAGATTATTCGAGATAACGCCATGTCATTCTGACCTGATTAACTACAAAGAACGTTGTTATGTTAATAACCTGGGTCGTCAGTAAATGACCATGAGGTTTCTAATACTGATGTGCTCCACGTGGTATGTTGTCGCCGGCATCAGTGACGTCGCACCCATCCCTCCTATGGGTTGGACGACACAGGGGCTGTTCGACTGCCGTGTCAACTGTACAGCCGGATTAGAAACATGTCTCAGGTCAGATTGCACAAATGCGTGTGTGGATAGCTGCGCCTTTATGTATTATCGCCCAGAAAGATTGGTGTGTTGTTTAACGCTGCACTCAGCAATATTTCAGCTACATGGCGGCGGTCTGTAAATAATCGAGTCTAGACCAGTCAAACCAGTGATCAACAGCATGAGCATCGATGTAAGGCAAAGAAAAAATATATATGTCCGTTTCCTATTACATGCTTTTTAAAAATAGGGTACGTGGGTCGGTTTTATCTTTTTTTAAAAACTTTTAAAAATATTTTTAGTAGCACCAGGTGGGCGCCTGAGAAGGTCTTCAAAGTACCATATCATGTAGTGACAATGCCTTGTGATGAAACATTTAAAGATTTCTATCTCTATTCATTATTTATGTTATTTATTGCAGGTTTTGTCAGTGAGAGTCTATTATGTCAATTCATGGCAATCCATTTTAGCCCTATGTACATTGAAAAACATGAAAATTTCGTACTCGATTTGGATGAAAATGATGAGTTGAAATGCATTCCAGTCATGATTTGGACTTGGTTAAAAGAAGATTTAGGGTCGCGTGCGTGCGTGCGTGCGTGCGTGCGTGCGTGCGTGCGTGCGTGCGTGCAAACGTGCGTGTTTGAAACGGTATTTTTTATTGGCCTAATTGGGATACGATGACATGTGTCAACCAATCATGACCACATGATCCCGTTGGTTGCCTCCAGTACGACAAGCATAGGTTACTGATGACCTGTTCTAACCCGGATCTTCACATGTTCGGCCAGAAGGAAGAATGTGTGTTTGTATTTCCGCATCTGTATACAAAGGTTTGCAGACTTGCCACAGGTTAGAAATCAGAGTGAGTATGCGCGTGATCATTCACGTATTTCCCGGCATTTGCATGTCCAACGGATTGGTGACTTGTCTCAGGTGATCTGACGTCACATTGCGCGACCGGCGATAGATAACCCCATGTGCAATTATGAGGTCATGCTCATTACATTATTGCTGACGTCACATTAGTAATGACGTTCAAATGAAGTTAATTTTTATTAATAAATTTACACCTTACAGATTTTACAAACCTTCTTTGGAACTATGAATATTCTTCCACTCGCTTCGGTAAATTCCCATGACACACACACTCAGGTATAATAATCTCCATCTTCGATTCAGCCAAACCTTGATCAGGCAGATGGCTGTTACAATGGCAACAGATGGATATCGAGACGCTGGTTACAAGTACCTCGTCATTGGTGATTGTTGGTCGGAGAAGAGGAGGACTGCACAAGGGAGGCTACTCGCAAACAAAAGCCGGTTCCCTGACGGCATCGCGTCACTGGCTAAATATGTAAGCCAGCGGAGTAAGTGAGTGTGTTGGGTTTAACGCTGATTTGAATAGTATTTCAGTTATATCACGGCGTGACAGGTTAATGGTGTTGGTTGGTTGGTTGGTTTGTTGTTTAACGCCGCACTATATTCCAGCTATATGGAGGCGGTCTGTAAATAATCGAGTCTGGACCAGACAATTAATGATAAACCGCATGAGCATCGATCTACGCAATTGGGGTACAATAACGTGTGTCAACCAAGTGAGCGAGCCTGACCACCCAATGCCGTTAGTCGCCTCTTACGACAAGCATGGGTTGCTGCAGATCTTTTAAAATACCAATTCTAACCCGATCTATATGCTATAGGGACGCCCGTAGTGAGGCAACCGTTTACCAATATAATGAACCGAACGATCCTTTACATACTGGCAAATGTTCATGATCAGGTGGAATGACGGACATGATCATAGGATTCTGGCAGACCAAGGGAGGCAACACCGCATAGCGAACTGCAGGCCTCTCCGCGTCCTTTATAAGAATACCAGTGAAGATCCGGGTTAGAATTGATCTTCAGTTGCCCATGCTTGTCGTAAGAGGCGACTAACGGGATCGGGTGGTCAGGCTCGCTGACTGGGTTGACACATGTCATCGGTTCCCAATTGCGTAGATCTATGCTCATGCTGTTGATCAGACTCAATTATTTACAGACCGCCGCCATATAGCTGGGATATTGCAGAACCTTATAAGAAAGAAAAGTCCAAAGTAGACTATCTGGTTCCAAGACGATTTTATTATTATCATTTGTTTTATAAAAAACACTTTATGAAAAGGATAAGTACATATGAGAGATCTATTACCCTCGTCTTTTCGTTATCGATAAGACCCAGTTGTCGAAACGTCATCACTTCAGCGATTTCCGTGACAATGAAAGTTCATTACAATCTGACATTTCAGCTCCATTCAAAGAACTTAAAACTTGGACTTCACATGGACCTGGGGATTGTCACAGAAAATGGGTACCCGGGCTCAAAAGGTCACGTGGCTACAGACGTTGGCGACATGGCAACGTGGGGAGTAGACATGATCTACGTTGATGGAGTTTCTGAGGATGTTAAGGAATTGGAAACTAGTGAGTTCTGAAAGAGTGTAAATGAGAGTCAATTACATGCATGCCTCTGTCAGTCAGCTTAACCTGGGGATGTATCAGGTAGAAGACGTTTGTCACGACCATGGCTCTGACAAACCAAGGATAATAAACAACGGATCTAGCTGGGATTCGAACTGGTGATAATGGTCATAGGATTGGTGTATCAGTATTTGACTAATTATTGCATTTCTTCAGGTGCTGTATTCCTTGACAAGATCATCAACTCCACTGGGTGGTCTCCCCTTGTTTCCTGTGGTTGGCCTGCGCGACTTGTCCGAGCCAATATTACGGTATGTTCTTGGTTAAATGTTCAACAATTATCTTCATTCAAATGGATAATAATGTATCCAAATGTACTGTGCTTGCTACTTTTATGCATTTTATGAAATTGGTGTTAATATCGTCGTGAACTAGGTAATAAATATGAATTCTTTCAGCCAAACTATGACGTCATCAAGGACCTGTGTCACACGTTTCGGAGTACAAAGAAACTGAGTTACACCGCCATTTGGAATGACATCTACAACACCTCACTCTTCTTCACACGCGACGAATACAACATCATAAGCCACCAAGGGCAAGGTCGATGGAATGATCTGGGTATGGTATGTCTAAATTGTTTTATTTCCAATTGGAACACCTTGATGAAATGGACATTTCTGGTAAACTACTGCCAACCGAAAACAAATCTCAAATACAAAGCCACCCGAACCTATACTACGGAAACTACACGGACAGGCACACGGTTCTTGAAACGTTCGTAGCCCTAAGAATTCTTAACTTTGATCGTAGCCAATGTGTTAAGAATGGGCTTAAGAAGTTCGTAGGGCTACGATCGTCTCGAGAATAGCTAGCCTGGTCTCGTTCTCCTCTTGTCATACGCTTGTTCTGGAAATCATTGGTGACTTGGATCAAACTGTGATCGATCCATCCACTTAAAGGTACACTGTGCTACACGACCTGGTATGGATCTAAACGTTATAGTTATATAGTGTCAGTTTAGTACATTGTTTGTAATTAGAGCATTTTTCAAATGGATATATATTCACCATAAGATATTAATTGTCCCATATAAAGAATTAGTTTGTAACAAATGCACTTTAAACGTGCTTGAAGACGAATATCACTTGTTGCTAATATGCCCATTTTATAACCGATGCAGATCCCAATGTATTCCAGCCTATTTCTACAGCCCACCTTCAATTGTCAAATTCCGAGCCCTTATGAAGATACACAGTGTCACTGTTCTTAAAGGAATATGTATATTCCTGAAGCAAAACCTACGTTAAAATAATTGTATTATGAATTATATTTCAACTCTACACACCATGACAATGTTGTATTACCTGTTGTACTCTTGGCCACATGGCCTTCAATTCTGAATAAAGTGATCATCATACTGATAAGATAAAAATAATATACTGTTGAGTAACATTTAATGGTACTGACATTTGATTGCGATAGCGTAGCCTAGTGGTTAAAGGTTTTTAAAATCATCAGGGTTCGATTCCCATGGACTCTTCTAAAATCTAACATTATATCTTAAGAATTGCTGTATCCTTCAAGTTAATCTGCAAAACGTAATTGTATTTGTGCATACAGCTACGAATGATTTTGGTAAGATAGCAAAGCACGAAGAATATGCCAGTTTGGGTTTCTTGTACTTCTATTTGTCCTTCTTTTTTTACCAATTTAGTTGTTGCTTGGATCCAGTATTCTTCCGGAGAAGTGCACACACACTCAGCTGTCATTCTGGGCTATGCTCAATTCCCCTCTCTTTCTTGGTTCCGATTTGCGCCACCTAGCGGCTGCTGACAAGGCCGCCGTACTTCGGAAGCCCCTCATTGGGCTAGATCAGGACACTCTCGACAATAACCCATTGATCAAAACACAGGTATAGCATTCAATTTAGTCGTAATCAGCGACTGCAATTAAAACGAGCAGTTTAACTTGCAAAAACACACAGATGTATGTGCGAAGACGTATTTGCAAAGCAGGTACACAAATGGGATCGACAAATACATATTCTCAAGGGAACTCTCACTTATGATACTGAGACATACGTTTTCAAGACAGAAGCATTTTCTAAAAGTGGAGCCGGACAATTCCTTTTTATTCATCACAAAATTTTAAGAAGACATGAGATATTAATTGAAAATAGCGATAGCAACGTTCTTAACGCATAAAAATATTAGAAATAAGTCGTTTTTAATATTTAAAAAAGAACATTGCAGAAGGGTGTCAAAACTAATTATACCATTAGAACTATGAAATTCGTTTTCCCATCTACCCTACGTTTTCACATCACTGTACGAATAAAGGATACATGTAATTCAGAGAGACCTTCAACTTGACGTAACATGTTATACTTGGGATTACACTGTCTCAGGATAGAACAGATTCTAGTACTTTTGTTGGGTTGAGTCCCTTAACTAAAGAAGGTGTAATCATGGTAATCCCAAATATAACATATGTTACATCTGACCATTTCCTAAATGGCATTGGGTCTTCAATTTGACCTTCTCGCGTATGGACCGGAAGTGTGACCTATACCGACCATTTACTTTCAAGACAACCAGCTAAAAAAATGTTGTGTTGTTCATCTTCACGTGGCAAGGTTTATGTTTGCCGGAGGCAAACTTATATATTTCGTTTTTTGTTAGGAAACACATTTTATGAGAAGGCGAAGCGATACCAAGGTTCGTTACACATGAAAATATTAAATAGAAGTATTTTATAATTTTTTTAAAAGGACATTGCACAGGAATGCATACAAATATTAATTAAACCATTAACAGGCCAAAAGAAATGCATAAATTCATCAAAGAACAATGAAATTCGTTTTCCCATTTACCATACGTATGCACATAACACAGACCACTTGACTTCATTCTACGAATAAACGATTCATGTAATTCAGAGAGACCTTCAACTTCACCTTCTCATGTAATTCAGTATGGACCGGAAGTTCAGGTGTGGCACCGTTTTCTGACCTATGCCAACCACGCCGTGCTCGTTGTGTCCTGGGCTCCCCCGGAGGTCATCCCGCGGCCAATAGTGACCAACCTCACTCTTCAGGACGCGGGGGTCAATATCCAACCAGCCTATAGTGTACAGGATCTACCCAGTGGTCAGCCGATTGGTCACTACTTCACTGATGACGTCATCATGATACAGGGGGCACCTGTCACTGTCTACCCTGCCGGACACATCTTGTTGAAGGCCGTCTCTGAGCACTAACCTTTAGATCTTACGATGTCATTTTGCGAGTAGTTCGTATGGACGTTTTGAATAAAATCATGCATATTAGACTCTGTTATATCATGTCAATACACTTAATACATTGACCCGGGCTAGAACTGATAGGCCACAAACGGGCGCGCTGAATATATTGATTTATTACCCACGTGGTCAACGTATGGGTAGTTGCATACTAATCTCGTACGTCACACGTGTGTCGTATTGCGTTGACCTGTGTCGTAACGACTTGACCTGAGATTCTAACGATTTGATTGGATAACCGATGACCTCTCAATTAGGTCACATTCTGACGTAACTATTTTTTCATTCATAACAAACACGTGAATTCATTCATTCTACAACTTAAATGCATTGTGGGAATGTAAACATCGAGAACGTTGCCGTGTCGCTGTTTAATTGTGAGTCAAACTGAGACATTATATCCGTCGAAAAACATAAACGCAATGTTTCCACCAGTGATGTTAGCCGAACGAAGCAACTGCAAACCAAGAAACGGGGTGCTACGGAGTAGTTTACTGTAGGAGGCTGTTCGAGGCGATGACAACTGACATGCATCGTGACGTCGGTTACCAAGGCAGTGACGTCATTTTGGTGTGACGTCATGCAAATATTGTACTACAGTACAAAACTCTTCCGCAAGCCCTTTATGAAACCGGTTTCGGTTTGAAACCAAAATGTTAACAAAAATGCGCAATTTTGTCAATTTAATGCATGTAAGACGTGAGTAATAAATAAAAATACTCGGTCTCATTACATACGATTACGAAACTCGTCTTCCTACATTTATCTGACCTCGCTTTCGCCTCGGTCAGATACCATAGGAAGGACACTCGTTTCGTATAATATGTTTATTCTCTATGTATGTCATGGTATCCACCAATCGCGTAGATCGATGTTAATCACTGGATTGTCTGCTCCATTGTTTACAGACCGCCGACATATAGCTTGGATACTGCTGATTTCAGCGTTAAACAACACACAAGCAAAGACAAATATCATTGCATTAATCATATGTCAATCATATGTCAATCATATGTCAATCATATGTAATTAAAGTGAATGAACATTCCCAACAAAGAGGTTTTCATTTTGGATTTTTTAAGTTACCTTATCGAGGCCAAATGGGCACGACCCATGCTGACACACAATCAGCTAGGTCAATGCCATTTATCCGGAAATATATCTTTCCGCGTAAGATCTGTGGACACATCTGTAGATGGCATCCTGTCCATCTCCACTGCTCGCACATTAGTCTGTCTCACAGTCCCTGAACCACATTAATTTCCCTACTGCCAAGCCCTCTCTGCAGTGCCACAGGGACATATATGTCCTTCCCCTTCAACCCTCAATTTCAAGTCCAATAAAAATCAAAATATCCCACGCACACAAATACACTTCACAGTTTCGAATTCTGCGGGAAATTTCCTGTTTCTTGATAACACCCACTAGTATTTTAGACAAAGCTCAAGTGCTGAAAATGACCTTTCAAAATTGGCTTCATCGAAAATGTCGCCATTTTTGACACAGTACGAAATCGCGATTCACAGCGTTATTTGCTGTATGTTTTGAAATGTGAAAATCGGATAATTACTGGGAGTATTGAATTTCAAAAATAACATATTTATGATCACTGATATCAGTTTTACATGAAATCGCTAATTATAATTCTAAAACGTTGCCGATGAATCTAGAATCGGTTGGGATGTTTTCGAAAATGCACTTACACGAACACCGTAGAGCGCTTTCCGCCATATTGGATAGTGTTTACAAAATCACGTTTCGCGAAGGCCGGTATTGAGATGCCTATTACATCACGTATATTTCATATTCAGCTTCGAAAAATGCATCACTGAATTCCCCATACATTTTAGAATCAAATTGCAACTGGTCTGTGTCACCAATAATAACTGTCTAGATAAAATGAGACTGAAACATATTGGGTGTGAAACGAACGCTGTGCTTGAAAGACTGCGTTAGTCCGAAATGTAAACAAAGACAAATTCCGATTTTACACTGCGTAGCATTTTCTGAAATTTTCAATCCTTCCGATTACACTGTCAGTATTATGGTGTATATTTTGAGTATTAGTTCAGATACTTTTCATGAGAACTGACTTTGAGTATCTACATTTAGCCTTGTTCAATATCATATCATACGTGCTTATAGGGTTTACGGTGTTTTATTCTTTGACAGTTTTTGATTGTTTAAATCATATTTACATAAGAAATTGACATATTTAGTGCAATACACCATATTATAAACCTTTACAGAGGTGTTAGAAGATCAAACGTAGCAATAGCTGCAACTACTTTAGTTCCTATGATGTACAATAATCAATTTAATTTTTTTTTTACTAATATTGCAATTTCATATGAACAGGTTAATGAACGTTGATTTAATTCAACCTTTCATGTAAAACTGATAATATTATTGACAATGAGTAATATGTGGTATGAAATGTATATGCACACATATTTAAAGGAATTATCTTGTTCATTGCATAATTTTGTGTCGTTTATAGACAAAGAATGATGCATATTGATCGACAAGGTGCGCGTTTGTTGGAAACGCTTTATGATTCTCTATCATTGTTTTCGATAATATATTCAATTCATATTCGATTAAATAATATTGTGATGACAGGATATCAAACTCTTACTACATTTATAGGAAAATTGTTAAATATATATACCATCTCATGTGTTAATTCGGACAAATCTTACATCCTTATTCTAATATATAGTTCCATATATAAAAAGTTATCTTTTGCATCTTTCATTACATACGTATGAAGAGAAATAGCGACATAATCATAAACAAACAAAATTCTTATCCCAAACAAACATTCAGATTGTTGTTTAATATATTATTTTTATTTACGTTAAATTGATGCCAAACAGGTGCGCGTGTTGTTCACAAAATGATACGCTGTCAAACCGTCTAATTGTTGATGTATTCAGGACACTATTAAATGGAAAATCAGTCATTTTATGTTTTTGTCTAAAGAGTGTTAAATTCTGACATAGAAGTCTAGACCTTTTACACAATTAATGGAAATTAAGTGAGATATATACTAATCAGCATACCAATGTCGTCTTTTCCGACGTCGCAAAATGCATAAAACAAGCAATGACGTCAACTAAAATGTTGTATCATTTTCAGCAATTTCGTTACATTTGAAGATATGGCTAGTACTCTATTAATAACGATGCAAAATAAGTCAAATTACATCTACACAAACAGGAGAATATGGGAATCTAAGAACTAACTTATATATCGGATAGGGCCATTCAACTCGCTATTACGTGCTTTCACATGTAATGCGTTGACATCTTTTCTTATAAATTGTGAAACTACCAAAGTGTATCCGCTCACATTGGGGAACTTTTGAATTGGAATAGTATGGTTCACCATGAACATAAAATAACGAAAATATAGCGTCCGTATCCACAACAAATTTTCTCCAAGTGATCTGAGTTACATTGACCTAGTGTTACGCATAACGGAGTTATGCCCCTTATCATTTATACGTGTATGACCTCTCTGTCGTCGTTTGACGTCATAGAAGAAAATCCATTTTGACATTTATTGCGAGTCCCCTAAAGTCCCCATGAAATGAATTTGTATATTTCTGTGATGTAAACAAACACTGCACTGAAGCCTTACAAAATGTCAGGCCAGTCTGACCACTGTCGTCATGGGAACACAACCGAGCGAGTCGGTGTAACACATTTGTACAACAATATTGCAACGTCATGGTTAAGAATAGGGACAGCCGTGAAGTGAACAATGTTCTGAAGCAAAAGATACAAATATGTTTGATTTCACTGCGCATATTTGGTGGGGATTCTAAAGGCAGGCCGCGTGTTATTCAAGACCACTGACAGATCTCTATACGTTACAGCCTCGTCACGCCTTGTTTATTCTGATTGACAAGGTTCAGGCACATATTAAAAGCTCTGACACAATTGACATTTTAAAGTCCCAGACTTAAAACCTGTTCTCAGTATATTACTTTATAATCTCGGATGTAAATATTCTCGTGTAAATTATCTGTACACAGCGCTTTGAGCATGCCCAAGGATGTGGAATGACGCACTATAAATACGCATTTATTATTATTATATTATGCTTGATACCCAGCGCATGCTGTTGATCACTGGATTGTCTGGTCCAGACTCGATTATTTATAAGCAGATACATAGCGTTCACTAACATGAACGCTCATGTTAGTGAACGCTATGCATCTTAGCTAGATTATTTACAGACCGCCGCCATATAGCTTGACTATTGCTGGAGTGCGGCGTAAATCTAAACTCACTCACTCACTCAGTTGGTTCGTAAACAACTTTCTATCATTTGCTAGACTATGCAAAAGGGAGATAACGCGTGCCTCGCATTCCTCTTTCTCTCGCACGAAAGAGTCTCGATCTAAGCTTGGATCGGATCGTAAGATCGGGACCGGCTACGATCGGCCTAAGATCGGTTAGTGGAACGGGTGTAACTTTTAGCTAAGGCGATTGTAAAATTGGCGTAACTTTGCTAAGATTGATCTTAGATAAGATCGGTTAGTGGAACGGCAGCCCTGGACATAAAGAGGATGCCATAGAAAGTGAACTTGAGCGAACTTTGACCTCCAAGACTAAATGAAAGCGTGGATATGACGTCACGTTGCTAAGGTTAGGTTCGCTCCTCAGTCAACGACAAGCAGAAAGTATAATGAATGCTCAGTGAGTATAACTGACAATATATTTCACGGAAGTCCATATCAAGTTGTTGATTTACGCCACAGTCAACAATACATGCAATTAGCAGGTCTGGGGAAGGTAATCCAGTGGTTGAGAGTGTGAGCGACTATCGACGCTATTGATTTGAAGCAACGACACAAACAGGGTCATCCATTAGAGACAATTGTTCCTCAACAGAACAGACAATTCTTACGAAAAGAATCGGATAAATCGTCAGTCCTGTGTGTTTGTTTAATTGATGTTTAACGCCGCACTCAGCAATGTTCCAGCTATATGGCGGCGGTCTGTAAACAATTGAGTCTGGACTAGACAACCTGGTGATCAACATTATGAGCATCGATTAACGCAATTGGGATACGATCAATTTTGTACACATTGACTGACAGCAATTGTGTATATAACAATATCCAAAAGTTATGTTTAAAGATTATGGGAAGGGGGAGGGTCATTGATTTTGTACATGACATGCAGTGTGTGTGTGTGTGTGTTTATGGGTGTGTGTGTGTCACTTACTTTGTACATACATTTTAAGGGGGGGGGGGTGTCATTCACATTGTACATGCTTCTCCATAAAAATCATCATCACCCCAACCCCCACCCCCACATATAACTTATGAACGGTCCCTTATGGCACGTAAAATTTAAAACATGTCACTAACTCATTTAAGACAACTTTATTTAAACACAAACCATAGTCCGACTACTTCGAATGTCCGTAGGACGTAAACAAACCCGTAATCATGGTAATTAGCGAGAGTAAACGTATGACGTCCGAAAACATATAATCCATCGATAATATATGTGAAAATGACTGCGTGAAAATTCAAGAAACTAGTCAAACATTAGGGTTTGTGAGAGAGAGAGTGTGTCTGCATGTGCTTAGTAAACTGTATGTCTATATATTAGTTGAGACATAAGAATCTGCCAGCCCCTGCTGCCAGCAGATGTCCGAGGCTACATCCCCAGGACTGGTGACAGCTGTGATAACTAATAATATAAGACTTATAGACTAATTGTCTTTGTGGGGTCCTGTGGGTTCTGACCTGATCAACAACGATAAGTGTCCGACAAAGAATTTAAGATTCACATGTGAAACGAAAGAGTGTGAGAAAGAGGCAGAGAGCTTTAAGATACTGAAGAAGGAAGCTAGACATGTATTTAAGTTTCTAATAGAGGTTGTGTGTTGTGGGCTTAGAGGACATACGGTTTTTCAACCTGTCCAGCCACTGTCTATTCACTGTCCAGCCACTGTCAAGTTAGTGTGTAGCTACTGTTATTCTTTCATTGTGTGGATTGTGTGGATTGAAGAGTCATAAGAAAAGCTTGGAACTTGTGATTAAAGGACATTTTGAGACCACTGGATCGAGTTGAAAGTTTTAAATCCTCTACCTCCAACAGTTGGTTATTATAAGAACTCACATTGGATTTAAAATTATCCTGAAAATGATGTACCAGAGACCGTATGCTGATATACCGCTTATCTGTTATGTACACTCATTGTAGGCCTACAATCAACATGACCAATTCGAACTACATGTATCTAGTTGAAAATGATCTTACAATATCATGAAAATTGAAGATAGGATGAATTCAACAGATCTACTTCGCTATGCTTCAGTTCATGTTCTGAGCAGACAGTGTTGCCAGATAATAACTTGAGTGAGTGAGTGAATGAGTTTTAGTCTCACGCAGCACTCAGCAATATTCCAAGTAATATAACTGAGTCTGGACCAAACAATCCAGTGATCAACAGCATGGGCATCGATCTATGCATTGGGATACGATGGATAATAACTTGACGTTTCAAGATATTATAATATGATATGATTTTGTGGCCCTACTGGGCTTCCGTAATCTATAGTCTCGAGCCTTTTCGAGATCTGGAATAACTGTGTAGATAATGTCGAGTTGTGTATAATATCCCTCGTTGGATAATGAATCCGAACACGTCCTTTCGTATATTTCAGCGTGACTGGTTTGCCGCACTGCCACTTTCACATCTCAACTATATTCTCGGAAACGAACAAAACATGACTACAGGTGGCGCTTTTCGCGGGAAATCGCGTCATATTCGAACGTGAACGAACACATTGAGACGGAAGGGTTGAAGAGGCAGAGCGGGTTATCAACGGTTGAAATAAACTCACTTGAATGTATGTAGGTGTATTTCGTCAACATTGTGTGAGGTAGCATTCGTTTCTGTCAGTATATTAGTCCTGGTGTAGTAATTAGTTATTGAAACAGCAAGTTAGTGTGTTTTGTCCAGTTTTCGATCAAAACATTAAGATCAAAGCAATGATATTTATTTCTCCATCATATAAACCCCACACTGTCAAACACTGAGAAATTATTTAGTGAGATGAGATATGTACATGCATTATGTAACAATTATTAGTGGTTACAAGTTAAGAAGGAAGAAACACAATTACTGAGAATATATATTAGAACTGAGATATAAACAAAGACCATATGATGTCTTTCAGTGGTATTTAGAAGTTGTACATTTGATTCAAGATATTTTATGATTAAACTTCTTTTTAATTTAAATTAAATTAAAAAGAAGTTTAATCCATAAAAATATCTTGGACATCAAAGACCATATGGTCTCTGATATAAACAATGCTAAACATGTGATTATAGTATCACATATATATGTTTTAGATATAGATATTCAAGATGTCAACCGGAGATTTGAAAAATAACCTGAGGAAGCTGCAGACAGAGGTCAAGTTGATGAAATATCCAGAGTCTGTTGATATCAAGGGGTGAGTCTCTCAGAGTTTTGTTTTAAACTCACTACCTAGTTCAAAATTAAGCTACTCTAATGCACATACATGTAAGCACTTAGAATTGATGTGTTTAACAAGTGGCAACATGGTACCTGTCTACTTTGACCATGCCAATATAGGCTTCTAATCATGATAACAAATTGTAATATAAAGCTACACAAAAGTCCCATATAGAGTATGTTTTATACTGAAACTGACTGATGAAATTGTTTGTCCTTAACAAGTGTTGTTCAGACTCCCATTCCCCTAACTATTAAAATGTAAGGGTAGCCATTGAAGGTACACTGGTTTTGGTGTTGATTTTGTGTAACACAGTATTTTGTCTTATGTTTGCTCATAAATATTTTGTGAGATTTGTTTTTCGAGATGAAGATAGGAATTTACTTATGACCAAATTAGATCCTCAAAACTTTCAGTCTATGACGTCATGACTCTCCAGAGATCTAATTAAGCCTTGTATTTGTAGAAAATATGCTGGATAAGCCACTATAACCTAATTCATTTGGATTTCTTGATTACAAATACACATGAATAATTTCAAAAGCCCAGTAGTATGTTGCTGCATAACGACACAATGTAGCCTTTTCAGCATGTGTACCTGAATATTATTACACATGTGAATGAAAGGCAGGTGACTTTTAGATTGCTAGAACCACCAGAGGTTAGTTTAGGCTAACATAAATAAGGAGATATGCAGGACATGTGTGAACAAGCAGTCACTTTTCACTTTCTATTTTGCTTTAGTTAAAACCCACAATGCCCAGTTATCCAAATCTCATTCTCATAAATTTCAGAAATATGTATGATAAACTATATAAGAGCACTCCTGAATCACTGATTGTTTTTGGTTTTTGTATTGTCTTGGCAGGTTGACTCAAGGTGATGCCAAGGCCTTCATGCCGATCCTTCATCATGGCTTCACAAGCTACAGCACCAAACTGGCCGAAGATATTGCTGCTAAGGATATTGTACTCTTTGCCAAGTCTGATACAACATTCATAGATTCTATTTACAAGGTTAGGTGATATCAGATTGATTACTTTGTGTTAGCACCTCTGCACATGAAAACCACAAAGTGCAGATGTGAGTGTTAGCAATATCACTCTGGGGCATGCAACAGAAATGGGCTTGAGCGTGACGAGTGAACACTTTAACCGCTAGGCTACCCCTTCACCCCTGTGCGGATGTGTATACATCCTTCCAAATACTCTGGACAACACATGGGAGTGTGTGGAGCAATCTGATTGGTTGAACAGGGTTTCAACTAGCGGCTAGCCAATTAACACTGAGGTTCATGATGGCTCACTACATGTATACCATTGCATCCTGCATGAGTGTAAGCTTTAGTTGGCAAGATACTGACCACAAGAAAATTATGCATTATGTAAAAACAAACATTTCCTGTAGCAGTTGCTTGAATCTGACTGATAAAACAATAAATGTCTTACTAAAAATATGATGGAGTATTTTTTTGTGAAAATATCACCCACAATGCAGGATTACTGCATTATATAAAACTATATGTTTAGTTGTTATTTCAAGCTATATAGCGTTTAATATGTAAACAATTTCAAGCTGTTTGTTTCTTTTCTAGACATCTGTGTGTGATAATTTCTGCATAGGGTTCTGAATATCACATGGGTACAACAGTGAAACCATTTCTGCTATAGCATTGATATTTGAATTTGCTTTCTAGACTCAGTCAGTCAGTCTGACATCTGCATTCCATTTTGTTGTCATAGGATTATAGCTTATGGAATCATCCATGACAGTTTGTATATTTTTAGGCTTTAATGTTATCGTGGTTAGGTGCCTTCTCATTTTCTTATGTTTTTGTGTAACTTTATGGAAATTTCAATTGTTAATCTTCGAAATGTTTTCTCCTTCAGATTCTGCGGGATATGTTCTCCTACAAACCCTTGGTAACGAAGGAACAGTTTTTCTCTACCCAGTTTGCAGAGAGGAAGATCATTATGGTTACAGAAATTCTCCAGAGAGTTCAGAAGCACTGTCGCAGCATCATATTCCAGTAAATCCTCCTCCGCCTTCAAGCTCAACTCTTCCATGGACAACATTGCCAGGCCCCCTTCTGGACGGGTGAGTCTTGGGCTTCAGAGCATGGGTGGCCAGCTGTCTAAATAGTGTGTGCGGAGTTGTGTCCCTTTGATGTGTCAAGAAACTAAGATGGGTTCAGTAGTGTGAAATCCACTTGTCCAAACTGACTCAAAAAGGTTTTCTTTCATATTCAGGAATCTTTTGTCCTTGTGATTTTTCTTTTGATTTTGGAGTATCATTTTTTCCAGCTCTGCAACTTTTCCACTTCATGTAATAAACCTGGCAATTGTTAGGCTAATCATATGGAAGCCATACTTGTTTTTAGCCAGTGTGACCTGTGACTTCTTACAGTACACTACACAAATGGATTCTCGGATTATACAATCATAGATTGTGTCCAAAAGTGATATAGAAATGAGAAGAAGGAAATAAACTGTCGGTTCTAATGGACCTTGTCTCTGGATAGCTGTAATAGCAAAACGTGTGAACCTGAGAAGGGAAGTAACTCCTTTTCCTGCTTAGTGATGTCCAGTGAAAGTGATGTGTGTTTTAATTTAAGTTTTGAGTACAACTTCATTTGAGTTCACCATCACCATGAGTAGCTGATCTTTGTTGTCCATTACAAAGATGCATCATCTGTCTTACATCCTCTTTAGTAAAGAAATGTTATGGTTTTTAAGAAGGCTTAATTAGGACACAACTCCTTAGCATCTAAGACTTTCAATAACACCCAGATTGATAAAGAAGTAATTCAATGTAACATACAGATTATTTGTTTTCCACATGTCTTTTGCAAACTTTGTGAATAGCCTCAGTTGCTGCATTGGTTCCAGATTCGGCCCAAATCTGCTGCAACAGGGACCACAACGACTACAGCAACCACAGCGACAAAGAAAGATGCTGCAAGTGAGTTTAAGATGTTGTTGCTCTGTTGCTTTAACAGATTACCAAGATTTTGGACTTCGGAAATGGCTCAATACTATAACACATAGGAGTCCATCAACTGCAAAGCTCATTACTGGTATATTTTGTAGTCTTTGTTATATCATGAAAACTAAAACTCAAACCACATAAATATCTGAGCTTTTAAGTGCAAGTGAGTTCAAGATGTTCCCTAAACAGATTACCATGGTTTTGGGCATTTGAAATGGCTCAATACTATAATACACAGAGGTCCATTAAAGCAGGCTTTGTTTATGTCATAACTCAAACCATGTCAAAATCAGAACTTTTAAGTCTTACCTTTCGCTTTCGATCATCTTTTATAAATCATTACTTCTCCAGAATCGTCAGCCAGCATGCCGCCACCCCGTGCAGTCAGTACCCACAATGCAGCTGCCAAGAAGTCAAATCTCAACAGATCAGCGTCAGCAGTGTCTCATATAGAACTGAGCAAGTACAGATCTTCTTCTGTCCGGTCGTCCCTTCCTGGACCAGGCAAACCCAGGGTTGTGAAGGAGGTCATTGACCCCAACCAGTCATGTGACGCTGTGTTTTCCTCGTATACCCCGAGTATTGCCCGTGTCAAACCACGTGCTGTAGAGGTGGTTAACATGCCCAAGGTTCAAGGTAAGAGAAAGATACAACTATGCAGGTAGTTAAAAACAATAATATCACATAATTTAAGTCATATCTTTCACTGATTATATACCTCTGTGTGTGTGAAGATTTGATGACACTTTCATAGAAGGTTGTAAACCCTGTGCAGAGTGAGTTTTGTCGGAAATTCCACTATTGACTTGCTTTTGGCTGAAGTGAGTGAGTATGGTTTAACACTGCTTTTAGCAATATTCCAGCAACATCACAGCGAGGGACACCAGAAATGAGCTTCACACATTGTACCCAAAGGGGAAACAAACCCAGGTCTTCGACATGACAATCATGCACTTTAACCACTAGGCTAACCCACAGCCCCTTTGGTTGAAGAAAGTTCATGTGGAACACAGACATTCCTTGAAAAATGTCACAGAAAGCTCACAGAGTATGCAGACATTCCTTGAACTACAGTTTGGGTGCAGATGCCCTGGTGCTCAGAAATGTTCAGGCCCCGATTTCTCGAAACAAACTTAAGTCTGAGTTTTGATTTAAGTCAGAGTTTTTACTCAAATTTGAGAAAACACAGGAAAATGCATTTCCCAAAATAAACTGAAATCAATATTAAACTCAAACTTAGTAGACAATTTGACATTGGTGGATAGATTACTTAAGTTGTTTGGGATATTTTAATTAAAAAATGCAGTCTTGTTAAAAATTCAGCTGTTTCAAAATGTCAAACTCAGTTTGAAATTTGAGTAAAAACTTAAGTTTGTTTCGAGAAATCGGGGCCTGGTGTATAAACTGTGTGCCAGATGTGAACTAGTCCAGATTTGTACATCACATTTAGACAGTTGTGATGGTTAATTCTCACTGTAAAACGAAATGTCACTCATATGATCTGGGAGACAAGATGAAAGGCTGAGAAAAGTGTGATCACAACACTGGTGATTCACACTCTAGATGCAAGTCATGTAAAAAGGGCATGCATTCACTCCCACACCAAAAATTTGAACAGCTCAGATACAGGAAAGAAAAAACAGTCAGAATGTCTTTTGATAATACACCCTAGTGAATTATGCAAGCCATCTGACTGTTTGGAGTCATATTTGCACGATAGACATGATATTTTAACAAGTGATTTCAGGATGAAATAATGGTGAGTTCATTTTTTTCTCATTTACATTTTCAACATCATAGACTTTGATTTATGATGTTGCATATGTCCCAAATTCAGGTGAACAGTCTAGTAGCTCATATTTCCTAATCAATTTTAAAGAGCCAAATACCGCTCTGTTGGTCCAGGAAATGAATCACCCATTGAAGTGGCATCTGCTTCACCCAACACGCCCCAGTCTGAGCCTGTAGCAGCTGTCAATGGGGAAACCAGAGATGGGATCAGTACCAATGCAGCAGTTCTCTGTTTTCAAGAACTTAATGAGAAAATTAACAGCATCATGTCGGTAAGTTGAAAGTAAATATCGGGATCACATATGTATAACAGCTAACAATACAACTAAACATCAATATAAAAGATTCTGAAAGTATGTCTTAGTGTGTACAAAAGTGATGTATGTTAAGAGAAATTACCTAAAACAAACATATCATTTCTACTGATAAAACATAAGCTGCTGAAGAAAATAATTTGTATAAACTCTATTTTTTCATTAAAAACTATAAAGTTATCTCCCCTCCAGTAAGAGGCTGCTTCTGCAAGAGGAGACTGTGTGACTCTGTAACAAATTGGAAGGGAAACCTACCCAGTATATGATGTGTAATTTTCATAGCCTTGAAATCTCTGGAAGTAAACCTTGAACTTCTTGATTTTGTGACATAAATTCTGCACAAACCATGAATGTTAAAGTTCACAATGTGTTACTGTCATCTCTGTTCTTCAGATGTTGGAAGCTGTTGACAGTCGTGTTGGCCAGATGGAGGCTATGTTTGATCTACAGAAGTCTGTTCCCGTCAGCCAGGAGCCGGCGCTGGACATGAACCGCTGGAATACTGTGGACGCCAGACTCAAACTCCTGGAGAATAGGATGCTCATCTTGGAGTCAAAGGTGAAGTATACTCAATGCCGTTTAGAAAGTGGTCTTAGAGTGAGGCAAACCTGGCCAGCCCACACAAATTTACTCTTCAGACTTTCATTTTGTGGAAGCCAGATGGGTACAAAAGTATAGGTACTGAGAATGTGTATTCCAAGTATAACATACTTTACAAGGGTTAAGTACTTTGTCTTTTTTATGTAGGTGGTGCGATTGCCTTGTGGTTTATGTCACAATGTGTTCATTCTGTTCTCTTTGTGTTCATGACCGCCTCCGTGGTGTAGTGGTGAGAGCGTCCGCCCGGAGAGCGGAAGGTCGTGGGTTCGATCTCCGACCGCGTCATACCAAAAGACGTTAAAATATGGTACTTGTTGGTCCCTGCCTGGCGTTCGGCATTAATGGGTACAACAAGGACTTGTCGGCTCGGAGTCAATATAATGTGTCTGAGTGGGGTAGGTCGGTGGGGTAGCCTAATAGTTAAAGCGTTGGCTATCTCATCGAAGTGGGCGAATCCCCACATGGGTACAAACCAGCCCATTTCTAGTGTCCCCCGCCGTGTTGTTGCTGGAATATTGCTAAAAGCGGCGTAAAACCAAACTCAGTCAGTCAGTCTGAGTGGGGTATTCATGCTTCACTGCAGCATGGTATCTCAGTGGGCTAGCACTATAAAACCAGCTTAAGTCTGGGCTAGTACAAGCAGCCACACATACACTTACACACACATGCACGTCGTCATATGAGTGAAATATTCTAAAGCACAACGTCAAACCCAATTTCACCTCACCTCTTTGTGTTCATGCAAAGTGCCCAGGTTTGAATCTGCACATGTTCGATGTGTGAAGCCCATTACCATCTCTGGTATTGCTGGAATATTGCTAAAAGCAACAGAAAGCATTGCTTACTCATTCACTTTACCTTGTTGAATTTGTGTTTTGTAATACACAATGCATCCGGGTTTTGTTATCCCCCGCCAGGAAGTGGGATGGGGATATTGGTTTGAGCTCCGTCCATCCGATTTGTTACAGAGTTATGGCCCATGTCATGGGTTTCTTGACTTGGTGCATGGTATTCCCAATGGGGACAGATTTTCACAGAAACCGTTATAGATAGAGAAACCAAATTAGGTATGTGTTTTCAGGACATGAATGCACTGATGAAGTAAACAAACAGGAACCAAATAGGAACCGAACACTGTGCCGGGGCATATTGATGACCATGTCTTGTTTCTCATTATGATGGGTTGTAGAATTAGCTTTTTTTAAAAAAAAGGAGTCATGCAGTGTCCTGTAACTTTCATAACAATAGCAGAGGTACAGATAAGCTGCGTATCTGCGTAAATTATGCAAATATTAATGTGAAAACTCAATTCCTATTAAGTCTATTGCGTACAAGTACGCTTGAATTTTTTAAAATACTCAATAAATTTGATCTTACATGCGTACACACAAAAATGTCAAATCTTACCTTGTGTACTGGTGGATAGATGAAATAACTGAGGTATACTGAGAGCTTCTATTTCAGGACATGAACTTGGCAACTTGCAGTCTTTCTTATCGTTTCTCATTTTACTGATCAATATAAATAACAAATACGTAAACCAACATTTAAATTTTATTATATTTTTACAATTATGGCAAAATACCCAATTGAGTTTGAGTAAGCTGGGTACAATTTTAATTTAATATATCTGATCAGTATTTGGTGTACTGGTGAAACAGTGCCCGAAGGTCACAATGCTATGCATATCACAATACATAGGTCATATCACACTGATTTTGAGACACATAGTTATTTAAGATTGTACTGAAACGGCTTGACGACAGATATTTCAGAGAAAGTTTTAAAGGAAAGCTACCCATAGAATCATGTTCATAGCTGCTATGTTTAGTCGTGAAATTGAAACACAAAGTGCCACACATCTAATAAAAAAACCGTTGGTCATTGAAGTGAGTGAGTTTAGTTTTACGACACACTGGACAAAATTCGAGCTATATGGTGGCGGTCTGTAAATAATTGAGTCTGGACCAGACAATCCAGTGATAAACAGCATGAGCATCAATCTATGCAATTGGTAACCGATGACATGTGTCAACCAAGTCAGCGAGCCTGACCACCCCATCCCGTTAGTTGCCCCTTACGACAAGCATGGGTTACTGAAGATCAGTTCTAACTCGGATCTTCAGGGGGTTCATTGAAGTAATTTATTTGAGCCAGTGTATTGTCTTGTATAGATGCAGAAGAAAAAAACAATCTTGTTTTGTATCATAGCATGAAAAATCACGACGTTCCAGAAACCAATTGTATCAATAACCCCTGTAGTTATAGGTGGGTTTAACTGTAAAATGCTTTGATTGTCCTATTCTGATACTGCAGATTCCAGATACTGACAAGGTTAAAGATGCAGTCGCCACCTGTCAACTCGTCACCAGTCACCCCAGTGTCTGCTGGAAAAACTGGTGCCTTTGTCACCATTGAGTCATTTGTGAATGGAGGTATGCAGCATTCTTATAAAGGAAGAGAGAATGTAGTGATTACTTTTGTGGAAGTGGCTGTCTCAGTAGTAGACAGTACTAGTACTAAGATAGCAGCTGTGTTAGTAGTACTGAATAAATTCTCAGTTAGTTCTACAGTACAGTAGCAGCTGTTTGAACAATACTTAATAGATTCTCCTTTTAGTTCTACATTAATAGTAGAAGCTGTTTGAGCAATACTTAATAAATTCTCAGTTCTACAGTACAGTAGCAGCTGTTTGAACAATACTTAATAAATTCTCAGTTCTACAGTACAGTGGCAGCTGTTTGAACAATACTTAATAAATTCTCTTTTAGTTCTACATTAATAGTAGCAGCTGTTTGAGCAATACTTAATAAATTCTCAGTTCTACATTACAGTAGCAGCTGTTTGAACAATACTTAATAAATTCTCTTTTAGTTCTACATTAATAGTAGCAGCTGTTTGAGCAATACTTAATAAATTCTCTTTTAGTTCTACATTACAGTAGCAGCTGTTTGAACAATACTTAATAAATTCTCCTTTTAGTTCTACATTAATAATATCAGCTGTTTGAACAATACTTAATAAATTCTCTTTTAGTTCTACATTAATAGTAGCAGCTGTTTGAGCAATACCTAATAAATTTTCAGCCCATTCCTTCAGTAACAGTGGCTGTTCTTAGTACTGGTGAAATTTCATTTTGTACCTTCAGTAGTAATGGTATCATGCTATCCCAGACAATAAATTAATGCTTACACTATCAACCACTGGTTTGTTACGTAACTCAGTTTACCTACAGATAGTTATCCATGGTACAATATTGAAGACCACAGTGCAACATACATAATAGCATATCAATGGCTGTTATGTTTGCAGATACATGTGGCAACACGACTGCATTAAAAATCTTATGTAAATTAATGTGTAAAGTTCTGTCCTTCATAGAATCTAAAGTTCGTAAAATGGCGCGAGAGGCAGAAGCTAAAATCCGATCCCATTCGGCTGAGGATGACCTGGACAGGGTGTCACCAATCAGGAAACCAGGGATGGTGGAGTTGCCAAGCAACAAGGGGGGTCAGGATGAGATGTTTACCCTGATCCCCGACCCAGAGCCTCACAGCTCCAGCACCCCCACTAAAGGTGTGTCGGGTGTTGGCCTCAAGTATGTGGACACACCAACACACAACCAGGCACAGAGGATTGAACACCTGTGAGTACCTGTATTGTGTTGTGTATGTGAGTTCAGTATGAGCTCTTTATACTTCCAGTTTTATTTTCTTTCTGCTTGTGTTACTGTGATGGTAGCACAGGGATTTACCTGGAGTCCTGTATTTGAGGGTCCATGGGACTCATGCCTATAATTTTAGGGGCCCCAGGGTTTTACACAGACTTTTAAAAATGGAGTCATGATAACTCACAATATTTATTTTGGGAGTCATTTCCAATATTTGGGAGTCATGAAAATTTAATATATTTCTTTGTGAAAAGATGTTCAAGTTTTCTGGGTGAGTGTCACTCCTATCCCAGACTACCTGCCCAGCTCTAGGCCCAAGTCTCTAGGTGTACCTCACAGACAGGCATCCTTTTACCAGTAACATGCACCATGGCACATGCTATCAAGTCATTAAACCTGGATACAGGCTGAAGAGATGTGACAGCAATATTTTGATGTCAAATAAAAACTTATCCTTAAACACCAAAACATACTTTACTATTGATGCAGTATTCAGAGGATCAATTTAATAACCGATGTGATATTGCGGCAATATTTCGCTAAGTTTGATGTTAAAAACTTATCCTTAAACACACAAACATACTCTACCATTGTTGCAGGATGCAGAGAACAGAATCCATTTTGAAGCATGGATTTACAAGCCGCAGCGATATGGCTACAATATTTTCATAATTGTGATGTTAAAAACATATCCTTAAACACCCAAACGTACTCTACCATTGTTGCAGGATGCAGAGTACTGAATCCATGTTGAAGCCAGTCCAGACCGAGATTCCAGCCGAGGAAGTACAACGCCAGGATGTTGATTAATGAAGAACTCAATCTCATCCAGCCTTGAATACATCAGTGAAACATTCCCATACCATTAAGTATTTATTGATAGACAGAAGAAATATATCTGACCAAAGAACCTTGTGATATTCCTGCATATCTGAGCATTTTGATGAATTCATGACTGTTTCTCCATTACTTTATGCCTGTTTGAAGTGACCAAAATGGGTATTAGAAGGTTACAATGGCAGCTAGGCATGAATAAATATAGCATGTGGATGTGGACCACCACAAAAGACTGTTAATTTGCTTCGCATAATTGATATGCATTTATTGTACATACAGTTGCTCACATCATCGACCACTAGTTTGTTTGGTTCTAGCAAAGTAACATTGCAGGCCATGTTTATGCAAACGATATTTGTGAAGCTATTTCTCACCAGACACGCGCATGTCACCCGTCTTTTGAGGCACATCATGGCTGTATGGCTGTGTTCCCTACAATGGCTTCAGGTTAAGGTTGGTGTGAGTACACGGGAAGATCCTAAACTGGGAGTCCTCGTCCCTGGGTGTTGATGACATTATGAGTCCCTTGTTTACAAAGTAGTTCAGACTGATCACTTCAAAGTCCACATTTCAATCCGCTCATCAGTACAGTGTGTGAAGCCCATTTCTGGTCTTCCCTGCAACATTATGGAATACTGTGAAATCTGCATAAAACCCAGCTCAATCTCTCTGGTAGGCTGACAATCTGCTGTGATGAAGTTGTAAAATTACTAATAATGAATTGTGTACTAGTTACTCATAATCCCCAATTATGTGCGATTCTCCTGCCAAATTGACTCCTGAAGACAAAAATCTGCAGTTTAAAAATCCCTTGACTTGGATTAAGGAAGTACTTTGTAATAGCTGCCTCATCCTTTGCTATGATAGCTCAGTGGTGACAGTGTTAGCCTACCACAGACTGCAGGTTTGATCCTCAACATGTACATTTGCCGACCACACTGGTACCCCCACTTCCCTGTGTTGTCTAGTCATACACAACTAAAGTGATGCCATGTCATCTTATGGTTGAAGGATTCCATTAAATTCCATCAGTTCTGTACATTTTCTTCTTCTGACTATAATGGCCAAGTATTGAAGTGATAACACTTGATAACAATTTCCCCTCCATCATCTCTTCATGTGAGACATATTTACAATTGTTGACATCTTTTTCAATAAAATATGCACAACCAAGTGTGTCTGGGCTTGTTGGTTTTGACAACGGCCATGTTGGGATGCCAGGGAAGAAGAAGACTGAGGATTGGGAGACTTCAGTAGCTGCAGTTAATGGGACGTCCAAGAGCCCCTGCATCACCTGGCTGTCTGTAATCCTATTAAGTAAATGATTCATTTGAAACACAGAAAATGATCTGTATGTACGACATGGAGGTGGAATGTTCTGTATTTACGACATGGAGGTGGAATGTTCTGTATGTACGACATGGAGGTGGAATGTTCTGTATGTACGACATGAAGTACGACATGGAGGTGGAATGTTCTGTATGTACGACATGGAGGTGGAATGTTGTTCTGTATGGAATGTTCGACATGGAGGTGGAATGTTCTGTATGTACGACATGGAGGTGGAATGTTCTGTATGTACGACATGGAGGTGGAATGTTCTGTATGTACGACATGGAGGTGGAATGTTCTGTATGTACGACATGGAGGTGGAATGTTCTGTATTTACGACATGGAGGTGGAATGTTCTGTATGTACGACATGGTACTTACATGGAGGTGGAATGTTCTGTATGTACGACATGGAGGTGGAATGTTCTGTATGTACGACATGGAGGTGGAATGTTCTGTATGTACGACATGGAGGTGGAATGTTCTGTATGTACGACATGGAGGTGGAATGTTCTGTATGTACGACATGGAGGTGGGAATGTTCTGTATATGTATGGAGGTGGATGTTCTGTATGGATGGAGGTGGAATGTTCTGTATGTACGACATGGAGGTGGAATGTTCGGTATGTGCACTGTGAATGTTAAATGTTCTGTATTTACAACTTCAAGTTGGAGTGTTGTATGTGTGCAATGTGAAATGTTCTGTGTGTCTGAGATGTACGGGAGGTAGCCTAATGAGGACCCGGGATCAATTCCCCACATGGGTACAATATGAGAAGCCCATTCCTGGTGCTCCCTACCGTCATATTGGTGGAGTATTGCTAAATGTGGCGTAAAACCATACTGACTCACTGTGAGTCTGTGCTGATGTTTAACTGTGTATGTGCAATGTAAGGTGAAATATTCTGTGTGTCTGAGCTGTTGATGAAATGTTCTGTATGTGCGCCATGGGGGTGGAATGTTCCATGTGATACCTGGGGGGGGGGATGTTCCATGTGATACCTGGGGTGAAATAATAATTATGTTAATACAGTATCTTTGTAAAGCCGCTAGAAGGTTATAGTCACATGACTTGTCCCACTCGGTACCCATTATTCTGCTGGGTGAACAGAGGCAAATTTTCAACAAATTTGCCTAAGGTGAGACCACATGTATCACATGTGCTTTTTGTAGGGCAGGACCGGTGTCGTAGAAACTCTCAGGAGTCAAGCTGCCAAACACAGTCACCCATTGAAAGATTCTCCGAGCTCGACGTTTCTTAACTTCCAATTGATTTGTGACCTGAGCTCTATGCATAGGACCACGCGCCACCACTGGTGACAGTCCTGTTCTGTCATTTTCAACCATTACCTTGCAATGAAGCCCTAGGTCAAGACGCCATGGCTACTATTTCAATTGTGACAAGGTATATCCAGATATGGACCACCAAAGAGAAGTCAAGTTTGACTCAGAGATAGTAAGCAGTTTTATATATTCTGTATGGGGTGCGCAAGAGCCGAACCACTTCATACCACCCTCAAGTAAATGGAGGGTGTGAGCGGTTCAGCAGAACCCTACATTAACTGCTTAGGAAAAAGAAGAAGAAATGACCTGATTTTCTTCCAGAGTTGGTGTTTTATTACAATGCCACTCCTCATTCATTCGCAGGTTTTCCCCCATTCTTCCTGATGGTTGGAAGACATCCACCGCTCCCAGTTGACTGTTTGCTGGGTTTGGCTGCATCAGAGTCAGGTAAGGAGGAAGTGAACATGCCAGAATGGGTATACCAACAGAAGGAAAAACTGAACTATGCTTACGAAAAAAGCAAGGGAGCATCTCCAATCGCATGTCAGAAAGAAACATCGTCATGACAACAGGCTCACCAGAAAATAACCTTTGGTTCACTTATGTACCTAAGAAACCGCCAGGTTCAAGGTAGAAATAAAATTCAAGATCACTGGAATAGTGCCCTTTTTCAAGTGTTAGAAGAACTAGACTGTGATCGGAGATTGTACAGGATAAAACCTGTAGATTTCGATGAACCAGACAGAAATGAAGGAATGTTCACAACGACGAGCAGTGGTCAGTGAATCCGAGGATAGGGGAGAGCAGGACGTGAGCGAGTCAGCTCTCAGTACTTCAGTCCACTGATGAAGAGATGTAGAATGTCCAGGTAACACAGACACACACGCACCTGTCTCAGCCCACCTGTGGGGAAGGAGCCAATGAGGAAGTCTGGCAAGGACAAATAAGTGAAAGCACTCCAACACAAACAATCTAGACTAGCGCGCTTAGTCTCTGAATATATTTATAATTTTGATTGTAACAACTAAACACATTTAAATTGAAAAGGAGCCCCAGGGAGACCAGAAAGCCTGGGAAATCTAACCTTGCTTCATTTAGAACTTTAGCATTGCAGGGAGGGCTTGGCTGTAGGAAAAATAATATGGTTCAGGGACTGAGACAGATTACAAACAATCAGGAGGGCATTCCATGAAAGTTGCAACACAAGAGGTAAGTAATGCACTATAGCAAACAGGCAAGAGTGAGTGAGTGGGTTTAGTTTTACGCCGCACTCAGCAATATTCCAGCTATATGGCGGCGGTCTGTAAATAATCGAGTCTGGACCAGACACTCCAGTGATCAACAGCATGAGCATCGATCTGCTCAATTGGGAACCGATGACGTGTCAACCAAGCCAGCGAGGATGATCACCCGATCCCATTAGTGGCCTCTTACGACAAGCATGGGTTACTGAAGGTACATTTCAGTCACTTAGTATCTTAACCCAAGATTGTTTTGAATGTACAGTCCGTTTGATTTCACTTGAGACCGACGAATTGCTCACTAACACAAAATCTAATAATTGCAACAAAACCCAATTTTGCACAGTCACATGAAGTCGACAGACCAACTCTGATGATTTGTCTCATAAACTTGGACACCTGAATAAAAATAAGTTGTTTAACAAACGATCATTATCTTGTTGGCACTTTTCGCTATTTTTACGAGGGGGTCCACTTGCTGGTAGGACAGCCAGGTAATCAACAAGCGTGGCTAGTGAAATTACAATTTCACACGTGCAACTCGCACGGATATAAATATTTGTCATCTGGGGTTAGCTTAAGGCACTTGGCACAAGGGATACCCCAGCATTGGTCCAGAGGTAGAGATCAATAGATACCCGAGAGAGTGACCCAGCATTGGTTGGGAAGGTAGAGATGTACTGATAAGAGAGAGGGGATGAGCGTGAGAATGAAAGACAAAGACAGTGTGTGTGAGGCCATTAGTAAATGTTCCACGTGCTTCACCACACTGACCAAAGCTAAACAGAATCGAACTGGAGAAATCGTTGTGTTTACATTTCTTAATGTGAGAGGTGAGAACAGTCTCCCCACTTAGCCACACAATAATATCTGATTCCATTTCTATTCCATTATGACTCTAATTTACCATCGAGCTAAACATACAAAAGGTGGTGCTGGATCTGTTTGAATTTTTTTCGTGGGGCTGGACAATTAATTGTCCATCCACTGAATATGTTTATCAACCTCCTGCTTATTTCTTGTTCTGATCGTTGAAATATACGGGTC